TTGTATTTGCCTCAGGGGAAACCTCCTGGTGTGGTTTAGGGGTGAGGCCCGGATGCAAGTGATGGCACAAAGATCTGGCAGAGGAAGGAGACCGGGAGGGACCTTGTCAGGCCATGACTAAAACTGGTCCTGTGGAAGCAAGGGAAAGGATGACAGGCTGCTGAGTCCTCCTGAGAGCCACTCCTATTGCATCGAGGGTGGCTTTGGGGAAGGCAGTTACAATGGGGAATTCTTGGCTATAGTCCTGCATGGCACTGGCTTTTATTTTCATGTTGCTGGTCAAGGTAAACCCTGAAAGGCAAGAGCACAGCGAAAGGAAGAAGGGAAAAGAGTCGCAGCGAGAAAGCATCTTCATTTTTGTCTTGTCTGTATTAGGCTTTTACATGGAGATGGATATGGAAATGTGAAGCAAAGAACCTTCAATTTGCAAATACTAGAATAAGCTTAACATTTCCTATTGAAGTCCCCACAGGCAACCCAACCTGTTCTTTACAGTGGAACAGGATGGGCCATGGGGTTTCCACAGCCTTTCCTCTATCACTTCCCACAGTGACTGCATCCCAGGGAACCTTCAGACTTCATGCCAGCTGCCAGCACCTCCTATGAAAGGCTGATCTGCCCTGGGTCTGTATATGGTGATTTCCCTGCAGTGGGAGCAGTACAGACCCTGCAAGTGGAATTGCACCTTTCCAAGGTGATGGATCACAATAAACTTTTTCATTGAAAGCAGGCTGGAAAACAAAGAGGATCCCTTCATCTGTTCAGCCTCTGCTTCTCTTGTCTGCAACTCCACCATTCAAGGACTTGCTGAAACACATGGAAACACTGATAATGCTTTTAGTGCTGCAAAACCCTCTGTAGGAAACTGCAAAGCAACACAAGAGGGAGGGCAGTGAAACAACATGGACAGGTTTTCAAAGATCCCCAAATAATCCATTTGGCATCTAATCCATGTTGGCAGCTTCACACCTGTATTCAAGGGGAGGAGAGCTTCCTCTTCAGTGGAGATGCTTACTGATCCCAGTACCTACAGAATGTTTGAGGATGGACACAGATAAGCAGAACTGCCTAAATGGCAAGGGAGTCCAGGGTTTGCTAGTCCTGCTGTGCCAAAGCAGTAAGTACAGCTAGTTCTCATTTACCCTTCTCAGCTGGTGCTGAGCCATTAGCCTTCACACTTCACTTGCCTGCCAGTAACAGAGGCAGGAGGGCAGGCAGGCCAGCTCCTTTCACCTCTTCTCTCTGTTGCTGAGACCTGCCTGCTTTCTGAGGTGGTGATCTGGGGCTGATCAGTCAAATACTGAGCTGGGAAATGTTTTCCTCTTGTCTCTCACCTTTCTTCCTTCTCACTGCTCTTCCATTGCCTTATGAAAAGCGAGACTGTTGGGGGAGAGGAGTTAAGACTGATTACTGATTGCCTGTCTGAAGAACAGATAGGGTCCTGTCTGTGTGCTGGGGAGAAGCTACAGCACTGCTCAGGTAGGGAATCTGTGAGCTGGAAACCCCTGCCTGCTTCCTTAAGTCCCCAGGAACTGAAGGTGCAAGATGATGTGTGCTCCCTCCTCTGCCTAGATTTCAGTGCAGCCTTTTTGGTTTCCACACTGCTGTGGAAGTGGATGATGGATGTCAATATACTGCGGGGGGACAACACGACGTTGTGCTTGGGGCTCTGGATTCTTTATATCTCCAGTCCTGGCTACGTTTTCTGTTCTGCACAACCTTTTTCTGTGCCTGTTCCTGCTCACAGGAGGGTGATGAACCTCTCTACCTCGTGGTGTCAACACAGTGCTGGTACAGTCACCTCTGCTGTCTTCCCTGGTGTAACTCGTGTTAACTGTCATGTTTGCAACCACAGGGAGAGTGATTCTTTTCTAAACCAGGTGGCGAGTGGCTTCCCTTGAAGGCAAGCATCCCTCTCTATGCTGGTACTCAATGGGAAGTGGGCCGACCTGGATCTCTGGAAAGATGAGCTGGGGCCCTGCTGAATTATTGAGCACACACCAGAGTCATCAGCTCAGAGAGAAAGAGAAGCACGAGCTTAGGTCACAGGTGTGGGATGGACATTATTAGCTTCAAGAACACAGGAGTGTAACTGATCTGCCTCATGCACTTGTGCTCTGCTCTCTGGATCTGTGTCACAGCTGCTTGGTGCTATGGCACAGATGCTCATCTTGGTTTGGTGGCCCTCTCTGGAGCCATAGACAGTCACAAAAGACCAGCTTCACAGTATGGAATCACCCCTCCTTTTCAGAGGCAAGACCCCCCTCTTAGGGAGGAGCAGCAACCTCAGGTCACACACATGGAAACTGAGGCACACTGTTTCAGTCTAACACTTCGATGTGTTGGCTGCATTTAAACCCCCTTTACTCACTACATAAGCAGGTTTGCAGAGGGCCCAATCACCAGTAACTGCAGCAGGAGGCCCATTGGAGTTTATATATGCAGAGCTCTGGTTAACAAACAGGTTGTCTAATGAGATGACTTAGTTGCCCAAGTATGTGTGTTCACTCCTCAAATTTTGGTCCAGGCTGCGTGCCCAAGGCTATAAGGAGAGATAAGGAGGTTGAAAACAAGATCCCATCTCCAAGCTGTGCCCAAGATCTCTGAGATCCCCCCACTGTGCATGTCCAAACACAATGGTGCATTTCCTTGCCCCCTTGGCAACCAGAATCTGATGTGAAGCAAGAAGAAGAGAGGATGGGGTGCAGCAGTGTGCAAAGAGTCATAAAGCTTCTTGTTGCTTGGTGGTACTGGCACTTACCAGCACTGGCAGGTGGCTGGTGCACCCATAGAAGATGCTGTCTCACTCAAAGGGGACAATATCCTTTACCCTGTATGAGGCACCCTGTCCTGTGCCTGAAGGAATTTCTCCCACACCCTCAGGCAGTGATCTTGCACTTTTTGCTTCTTTCTCTTGCTTTAGTGATACATTAAAATAGTTTATTACTGGAGGAGGCCTCCCTTATCTGTAAACCTTTATTCCTATATCACCACCTTCTCATTACAAATAATCCATGACTAAGCTCATACAAGCCAAAGCAGTATGATGAACATCCTGTAATCGGGCTCATTTTTGTTTGCAGTTGCCTGAGCAGGCCTCTGACATCACCCTCAGAATGTCTTATTCCACTGTGGGGTGACACTGATAGAGAGCACAAGGGCACTGGGATCTGCTCACTACTCTGTCAATAGAGACGATGGGGTGAGTATGCCCATGGACCTTTTCAGACGTGGTATCTCATTGCATTGCTCACGCTCAAGTGAGGTTACAAGTGAACAGTGGCTCAAAGTGTTTGAAGAGCCATTAGGGCAGGTTATATTCCCTTTTCCCTCTTCCTCACACCTATCCTGTGACCTCGATCCTGCGCTTCATGAGTTCAACTGTGCTGGTAGAAGATCAATAGGGCAAACCCTATCTTTCACATAGAGTTGAAGTGAATGGTTCAACTGCACCAGTCAGCCAAGTAACTTCTCTTCTAAGTCTGGTCCTTTTTCTCTGGTCTTAGTGAGATCTTGTCATGGTTTCTTGGGACCAAAGAAATGTAGGTTGTTTTGCCCTGTTAAAAACTACCAGTCCTTGAACACCAAAATAGAGCACTTGTGTTTGGAGGTGAGAAGTTGACTCCTGGCAGTGTCCTTTGGTCCAGAGGTACCTTGTGAAAATCTGCCTATGCTGGGTCAGATACTGACCTTTGAAAGGCCAATAGTGGTAAACACACTACAGGGTGTTCAGTGGGTTTTGCAAGGTTTCTAGCTGTTAAGAATCTCTGAAGAATCTGCACTCATTGAGTATGGTCTGGGCCTCTCACCACAATTTCAGGAGCAAGATTAGAGGGAGCCAAGGGAGGAGAAGTGGGTAAAGCTGCTGAAATTAAATACCTGCTGTCTTCTGAATAGGAATTTTAGGCTGTCTGAAAAGAGTTCAGGTTAGATATAAGGAAGAAGCTCTTTACTGTGAGGGTGGTGAGGCACTGGAATGGGTTGCCCAAAGAAGCAGTAAATGCTCCATCCCTGTCAGTGTTCAAGGCCAGGCTGGACAGAGCCTTGGGTGACATGGTTTAGTGTGAAGTGTCCCTACCCGTGACAGGCAGTTGAAACTGGATGATCTTAAGTTCCTTTCCAACCCAAACCGTTCTGTGATTCTATGAAAAGCAGTGGAGATGGTATCTGTTTCAGGTATACTTTAACACTTTCTCCCTCACCGATGTGGAAGCAAGTTTCAGGATCAGGGTTTTGTGGAATGTTCCATCAGAAAAGGCTTTTATTTTTTGCTGAAATGCAGGATGAAGAGAAGGGCTGGAATGGCCCTGCCTGATTTTCTATCACCCTGTGTACAAGGTGTTGCTGGCTGGCTGTACCACCATCCCTCTGGGCACAGGAACTGGGCTTTGGCTAGACAACTGGGTACCACTTCCAAACCCAAACCATTATATGATTCTATGGTACAGATAAACTTTTGCCTGCCCAGAGGAGAGCAACCCCTCTAGAATTCCCATGCTGCCTGGCAGTACCTGTCAGTGGGAGAAGGGTTGGTTGTTCTTCCTTTGGTGTATCTAGCTCTTGGTCTCCAAACTGGAAGTACCTTGGCTTGAAGGAGCAGCAGAGACTTGCTTTTCCCACCTTAGATCACGACGCTGGGATTGATGTTTGATGCTTCATGATGGAGGGTCTCAGCTGGTTTGTCCGTTCCATGTGCTCCCTGGGCAGTGCTCTGGGAGTGGATGAATAAGGAGCCTGTGTGATGCAGGATCTGGAGGGAATGCAGGTGTTGCAGCGCTCCGGCACACCACAGACTCAGCCAGCCTGACTTGTGCTCCTCTGAACAGTGCTGCTCACACATAGGGCAATAACACTGCAGACCTTTCACCCACCTTCCAGTAAGAAAGAGATTGTAAACACAGTGATAACACAGAGTAAACCAGCCATTTATGATGCTTCAGCAGGTGAGCCTATTTACTGTAAGTACCTTTCTTTGGGACGAGATAGTGCTGTGTCCCTAGGCAGGCCTTCCCCTCCAGTATCATCATGTCAAATCCTGGTTTATTTAAGAAGAGCACAGGTATTTTGTTTTCTCTCAGAAGCACCTTGCTCAAATGTTCTGGAATTCAAGCCACCATGGTTTCTACAGCAATCTTCGAGACAGCTGGAATAGATTCACAGACTGTAGAACGATGTCAAAGAGGACTGCTGAGCCCGAGTGTGGCTTCAGTGTCACTGACCTAGTATTAGTGGCTGTAGCCACCTGACTCCAGATCACTTCTTACCTGTGCTGGGTCCAGTGCTTTAGCCAGAAAATGCCAAATACACCATTCCAATGGGAGCTAAACCCTGCAGCTAAGTAGTTTACAGAAGCTTGAACACAGCGGGATTCAATGCATTATGTATGGATCAGCCCTCTGGAACTGCACAGGCACCTAAGTTATGCCTGTAGGAAAACAGTAATTGAAAACCTCCTTCTTCCCCACCTCTTGGAGCTGCCTTGCGTTAAATATTAACAGCCTTGCTTCATCAATTCCCTGGTTCACTTGGCTTCTTTTAACAACAGATGTAGTTACAACAACTCCTCTGCCTCGCTCCCTGCTCCTGTCAGCACAGCCCATGGTGAAACCCAAGACTCGAGTGCTGTAACTCTGCCTGCAGAGCCTGGCTGCTGCCCTGGTTGTGTGGTCTCCTCCATCTGTCTCCTTGGGATCACCAATGCATCCTGGTTTCCGCATCTGGGATTAGCTTGTGCTGTGGGCCACTGCTTGCAGAGAAGGGTTGGTTAAAGGAGACAGAGAAAAGGAGCCCAGAGGAAGGAGTTTCTGCTGTCAGAGGGGTGAGCATGGCCAGCAACTCCAGCACACTGCCCCGGGTGACTTTCCAAACACCAGAGAAACCTGGGGAGGAATCGTCACACAGGAAACTGGGCAAGTTAACCATCAAGTACAACCGCAAAGACCTACAGCGCTGGCTGGACCTGGAGGAATGGATCAACACCCAACTGCAGGAGCTGTACCAGTGCCGGGTGAGTAGCTGGGGCAGATCAGCCCCTCACTCATGGGGTGAATGGGACCAGTGTCCTGTGTGCTGGGACAGAAGTGTGCTTGCTCTGACTCACTGGAAGTAGCTCATCTTCAGTCTTTGTTGGGTATCTTATTGCCACCTGCTACAGCACTGACTGGTGTTATCTGCAGTCAGAGGAGCTTGCACCAGTATAATCCAACTAGTTTTAAACTGCCTGGTCTTGTACCTGCTAGGGGTGTAGCTATTGCTCATAGAACCTAGAGAGATGTACAGACCTGGAATGCTGCTTGTTGCTGAGCTCCATATACAGGCTGTCTTTGTTGCAAGTGGTAGCTAAGCAAGATGGGTTAGAATTACTAGTGTAGCCTTGCTCCTTTGGTCACAATAGCATAGCTGTAGCTGCTGTTCGAATGAGACACTTTGGATAATGCTGTACCTGTAGCTGCAGAGTTGTGGCTGCCCCATCCCTGGCAGTGTTCAAGGCCAGGTTGGATGGAGCTTAGAGCAACCTGGTCTAGTGGAAGGTGTTCCTGCTCACGGCTGGGGGTTTGGAACTGGATGAGCTTTAAGGTCCCTTCCAACACAAACCAACCTGTGAATCTGATTCTATGATCATGTAGTGTACACAGGAGCAGAAAACACACATGACCTAGACCTAGTCAGACAGGCAACATTCAGTGTGTCTGTGCAGTGCTAGTGGTTGTCCTGGTGAGAGATTGCTGTTCAAAACAACAGTGCTAGAGATGGCATCACTTAGTGACCTGCCTGCGCTGGCATTTAAGGAACTGTCCCCTGGGTCTACCTGGTTGGTAGCTCAGTACAGAGCTACCTGTACAGAGCTACCTGACTGTTGAGATTTGCCAGAGATAACCAGTGGGAATGGCAGCTCTGCTTTGATTAACAGAACATCTTGCTCTTTGGCAAATTGTTGTGGTTTTAAAGAGGACATCTGGGTTTGTGTGGGGGTTTTTTGAGATAGATGAAGGCACTTGGTACCACCAGTAACGTGATCCAAACGAGGATCCACATGTGCTTCACTTACTTGCCCAAGTCTACAGATGCGCTCTTGTAAAGGTGTCAGAAAACCAAGTCAGGTTAAGTTACCACTTCTGGTTTTCTGAGAACTGGGAGCTGTTCACTGTCTCCAAAGCAGCTGCCCAAAGGGCATATTTTTTTCCTACTACAAAATCCCAGCAGGCAGAAGTGCAGAATCCAGCCATGCCCTTACAGGAACAGATTGCCAGCAGATTGCCTTTGCTAGCACCTCTCCTGCACAACAGGTTTCCCAACTTCCTGCTATATTTGCGCCAACTGAAGAGATTTGCTATCGGGAACTACACAATATGATGCTGTGCCAGGTCAGAGATTGTTAATAGGGTACAACAGGGGGTTACACAGGATCTCTTCAATTAAATACATGTGCCACAGTAAATTGCTTGTAATCACCCAGGTGCCAGCAGGTCCTGCTAATTGTGGCAAGGCTGTTTAGTTTGCCCTGCTAGCCTGGGCTTCCTTGGATCCACTGAGTTCCATTACTTTGTCTTTTTGTCAGCTTCTTCCTTAGCTCCACCTGCCCTGGGCAGTGCAATGTTCCTCAGTGTCTTCCAGAAACCTGTGTTTCTGGAAGAAACACTTCAAGGAAGGGTATAGAATGATAGAATGGTTTGGCTTGGAAAGGACCTTAAGATCATCAAGTTCCAGCCCCCTTGCCATGAGCAGGGACACTTCACACTAAAGCATGTCACCTAAGGCTCTGTCCAACCTGGCCTTGAACACTGCCAGGGATGGAGCATTCACAACCTCCCTGGGCAACCCATTCCAGTGCCTCACCACCCTCACAGTAAGTAACTTCTTCCTTGCATCCAACATGAACTTCCCCTGTTTAAGTTTAAACCCATTGCCCCTTGCCCTGTCACTACAGTCTCTGATGAAAAGTCCATCTCCAGAGTCAGAATGAAGAACACTGTAGGTTCAATTGCAGCAAGGTTAGTTCAAGCATTGCCTCCTGAAACAGATAACCTGGATGCTATGCTATTCACTGTCATGAGGCTTTTTGCAACAAAACTAAGAACCAGGAGACAATTTTGATTTTCGAGATGATTCCCTGCACATGGAATCCGTAACACCATCCATACTCGGACCCAAAAGCCCATCTGTTCCAACTCTTTCTCACTCTCCTTGCCTATTTAGCTTCTTAGCCAGAGACAAAGTCAGGCTGGATCAACACCTGGTCTAAACAGCCACATCATAGCTATTATTTGTAAGAGGAAATGCTGTATAGGTCACAGTACAATATATTTAAGTCTGGTTTATTAGTTACTATCAGGTCAGTTGCATTACAAAGCTGAACAAAGGTTTTCTACTTCATCTCTGGCTTGGTATCAGAGAACAAGTTTCTTTTTTTCCCATAAGTATTGCCTTTATTGTGCAATGTCTTACATTCACATCCATAAATGCTACCCAGCAATCACGTACTATGCTGTTTAGTCAGTATCCTTATTCTGATTACTATTAAAATATCACTAGTGTTATATTGTCAAAGATTATTTTGCAAATCCATTGAAAACCACAGCCTGCTTTTTATACAGTCTGGTAAGGACACGTGGACCTAAAATATATCTTGTGATCAAGTTTACAACTGTTTCAGCTAACACCCCCATGCATGACAAGATTATTACTCCAATCACCAAAGCTTGGGGTTTCTCTCACAGTAAAGGAGAATATTATACCCCTCTCATGTCTATTAGAGAAAGCTGGCAAATTATTGTTAGGCCTCTCAAAAGCCTTACTGTTTTTCTCCCCATTACTGCAAAAAAGACTTAGTATAAATCCCAACTGTGTGAATGTATTTAGCCTAATTTCCTTGTATTAATTCTACGTCTCTAAGATTAAGCCCACTGGATTTCTGTCATCTGGGTTTTCCCACTGACCAGTGGTATCAAGTCTTGAGGTGGGGAAAGATGAAGAACGTGTGCATCAGGATGTGCAGTTGTAGCAGACATCAGAGAGGGATAGGAATCTGTGCTCTAAGAATCTCCTATTTTGAGATGATTTGTATCTTGACCTCAACTCTGCAGCAGTTCTATGCAACTAGTTCCTCCTCACGTCTTTAAAGATGGCCTTCAGAGTCCTTAAAGTTTGAAGGTTTATTAACTATGGGTTGGTTTTATTCTTTTTAGCTAAGAGAGGAAACAGAGGCAGCAGCTCCTGAACCGCAAATTGACCTTGAAGATCTCCTGGAGGTCCCTAATGAAGAACAGAAATTAAAACTACAGGTCAGAGGGACTGGGGACTTTGAGTTGGGACTTCCTTCAGAAGAAGTAGTTGCATGTATGTGTATATAGTGTTACATGTATATTTATATAGTGTTGCATGATGGTTCCCTATGCCTCAGTATGTCAAATGTAGTAAGATTAGCTATCCTTTCTGTAGAGAGGGGAGAAGAGATCAACTCTCAGAATACTGAAATGACTCCTCCCTCTTTTTGCTTTTAGGAAATCCTCCATGAGTGCTCCAACCCAACAGAGGTGAGTGAAGCACCATCAATATATATATGTTATACTGTGCTGGGAGAGTGTGCCTTTGTTGCTGCTTCACTGAATAGCCACAGTATTCCTGTGCCTAACACAATGCTGCAAATTTAATTCCCAATGGAAAGTGTTTGCTGCTTTATCCTGCTGTGTTAGAAAAATACATGTAAATCTACATCATATACATGATGAGCTGAGGGCAGAGCAGTGAAGCAAATAAGGAATTACACTTTATAACCAAAGAAAGTCCATTTGATGTTTTGGACATCCTAACCTAACCAAGGTGAATTGCTATTTGGACCTCAGCATAGAAAATCCATAGGCAGGGATTACAGCTCACATAACCATCTTGCACACTGTTAAACTAAATGCATTCTTAGCTTAAACCACCTAATGTTATGAGCGACAAGAACGTAGGATGGCCCTCAGATTGGATTGGGCAGGTAATTGTTGAGTAGTGGCTATATAAGTCAGTTTTTCAAGTTTGGTTTTCTTCCCATGTGAAGTTTGCAAGTACTGGTTTTGAGTGAGAGAGTTGAAGAACTCCCACAAGCTGTCACAATGTCCAAAGGAGTGGAACCCAATACTTTGCAGTGTGGTGCATGCACCACACAACAACTGCCTTCACTGTACTGCATACCTGTGCAAAATGGGGTCCCCCATGACTGCTTCAGTCACATGCATTGCATGTGCTTGGACATCATTCATCAGTCTCTGTATCTTGTCCTGCCTACGTAGCTGTACAGTGATGAGCATACAGAAAATGAGGTGGATACACAACCATCACTGAAATTTAACTTTGCTGTAGTAATCATTACAGAGAGACTCCTAGCAAGTATTCAGCAGACAAGGCTGGTAATAGGGACATTTCAGATCTTAGGCAAGAACCCCACATTCCCAGAGATATAACTGGAGTTTGCTCTACTGCTTTATGTGCTCTGAAAGTGTATTGTGGACAGCATGGTACTTGCTAACTACAAATACTGCTGTCCCGTTAGCAAATCTATGTACTTTCACCCCGGTGATCTTGAATCTGGTCTCCTTGAAAGATCACAACAGCGTATTTGCAGAAAGAGGGAATCATAGAATTATAGAATAGTTTGGGTTGGAAAGGACCTTAAGATCATCCAATTCCAACCCCCCTGCCATGGGCAGGGACACCTCACGTTAAACCATGTCGCCCAAGGCTCTGTCCAACCTGGCCTTGAACACCCCCAGGTATGGAGCATTCACAACCTCCCTGGGCAACCCATTTCAGTGCCTCACCACCCTCACAGTAAAGAACTTCTTCCTTATATCCAAGCTAAACTTCCCCTGTTTAAGTTTGAACCCATTACCCCTTGTCCTGTCACTACAGTCCCTAATGAAGAGTCCCTCCCCAGCATCCCTATAGGCCCCCTTCAGATACTGGAAGGCTGCTATGAGGTCTCCACGCAGCCTTCTCTTCCCCGGGCTGAACAGCCCCAACTTTCTCAGCCTATCTTCATATGGGAGGTGCTCCAGTCCCCTGATCATCCTCATGGCCTCCTCTGGACTTGTTCCAACAGTTCCATGTCCTTTTTATGTTGAGGACACCAGAAGTGCACACAATACTCCAGGTGAGGTCTCACGAGAAAATAAACTGGTTTCCTCTGAAGGGACTGACTGAAAAGGTATGTATGATCCTAGGCATTTACTTCCAGGGTATGCTGTGGCAGGCAACCTCTGATCACCCAAGTGAGGAAGCTGTGCTTCCTCACAGCACAAATGGTAAGCTGCAGTACTTCCAGTGACCTTGCCTAATTACAAGGACATGTAGCTCTGTCTTTGGTTGAAGAAAGGTTGCACACTCCATTAGGGTGATGTTACATTGTCATGCAAAGTGTAAAATTTGCTCTAGTCACATTAACTTCTGCTTGGAATAACCAGATGGTCCAGTTTAGTTCATAATCCTTGGCTGTGTCAGCAAAGTAGTCAGGGTTTATCTCTGTTAACTGCTGAACTATCTGCTCTGCCTGCCCTCAGCCCCTGCTCCAGGTTATCATTAGTCCTATGTGTGTTTTGCTCCACCTCTTCTCTGCCAGCCACTTCCTTGTAGAATTGGCATGGTTTCGAGATGGTTTGCAATGCACAAGATGGAGCTTTACAGGTTCTACAAGAGGGACAACTTACTTTGCCCTAGATTGGGAGGGCTGCAGAAGTGGGCAGGAAGTAATGGTGGCAACAGGAAGCAGTGGAACCTAACAGAGGACAACAGCATCTTGAGGTCATCTCAAGGTGGAAAAAGCAGATATCTGGGATGAAGGAAGGGGAGGCTGGCTCCTGATGAAAAAGTATGGCTACTCCAGAGGTAGAGAAGGGAAGGGAAATAGAAGGGCTTTCAGATCCTTCTCATCCATGCAAAGGTCTCCTTTCTTAAGCTAAAATTCTGGTTTTTGCTCAGCATGAAGGCAAATGTGGGAATAATGTAAGTGCCATAGCAAACTCTGGGCTGGTGAGTGCTGGAACTGACATTCTTCTTCAACCAATTCTCATTCTAGGACTTCATTACAGAACTGCTTAGTCGATTGAAAGGTCTCCGGAGAGTCACCAATCCTCAGAAGAAATGACCTTGCCCTCATGGAACACCCAGCTTTGGTTACAAGGGAATATGTATCTTCCCCACAAAACCCAGGATCAGAAACATCACTTCAGAATATGTTTAAGACTTACTGATACTGAGAAAACATTACCAAGTTTGTGAACTTTATACCAGTGGTTTGAAGTCTCAGCTCATCCCAGATCTACGCATACAGCAGGGAGCTAGACTGTGCATATTCCTGATTCTTAAAGGGCATGTTAACCTGGGGAACAGGCCAAGATGTCCTTCCTTTAGTTTCTTCTATGAATTTCCATGCTGGCTGAGAAGCACTGAATACAGTTCTCAGGAGCGCATCAAGACTTCTTTCTTTCCATCCACTGCAAGGAAAACAAGGCATTGGTTATCACTCATTCATCAACATGGAAAACCAGTTACTGTTAAGCTGCACCCTGTTTCAGTCTGGCTGGGACCCAGCTGTGATCTCCAGCCTGTTACTGCTGTACCTGACTGTACAGCATTACATGTACTTTGTAGGTCTTATTAAGCCTCTGTTATCCATGGTGGTTGACAAAAAATATATGGTAGGATGGAAGGAAAATGAGTGCACCTGATCTACTTAAGGGGAAACAACTGCTAACATTAATGGAAGAGACTGTTTTTCCTTCCTGTGGAATTTAGGACTTGCTTCTTTAGAAGATGCTTTTAAATTATTAAGATCTGGGAATGATTTTTGTCATCATTTAAAAATGGAAAAATGCTTATTTTGTATATTAAACCACAGAAAAATAGACATGCACTGCTTGCTTTTGCTCTCTTTTTAGACACTAAAGAGAAAACTGAAATGAGAAAATACTTGCTCTCAATTTCCCTGCAGGGAGCATCTCAGAGCAAGTCTTTTGCCGACAGGTGGGTCTCACAAACGAGATATGAAGTAGGACACATTGTCTTGAGGCAAAAACTCTTCTGGCTATAATACTGTGTGGCTGGAAAAATACAGAGGAAACTACATCCAGCCTCTCAGCAAGCCAGTAACTTGACACATGTGACTAGGAACTAACAGCAAATGGAGGCTGGCTGCTCAGGCAGAGCAGGCTCTCACATCATGTCCTGCCCCTATGCTCTCATGCAGCAGGGGTAACAAAGCAAGATGTGGCCAGTGCTGGGTGATTTCTCAGCTCACTGGTGCAAAAGAACAAGGCAACCAGAGCAACTTCTTTTTGTTTAGTTCTTAAAAACAGTAAATCATACTTGCTTTTATTTACCATTCTTTAAACCAGCTGCCACTTAACCCTGCTGTTTCTCAGCACCATCACTCGTGTAAGGCTATAATGTCTGGTATGCACGTACTGCGTAAGAATGTGTCTTTAAAGGAACTTCGCCCTCTTGATTGTACCAAGATAACTCAGAATGTGTGAAAGTTCATGTGCTTTTCTAACTGAGGGTTTATGAAGGTGTATAAAGTAACCTTTAATGCAATCCTCCCTTAGTTATGATCAACACTTATATCGCCCTTAAAATATCCTGGCTGCTACATTTAGGCACGTGACCATGTTACAGCATTCGAGGTTACATGCATACGCAGCAAATGCAAGTTAATGCAGTTTCACTAAGCTGAGACCTCTCTTTGTAAGTTAATCTGAGTTCAATCTTGTGTTAGCCTTGTTTTGACTTCTTTTTGGGGGTGCAGCCTACATTTGATAGTCCACATACAAAACACTCTCAGAGGGGAACAAAAACTACTTGTGCCCTTATGGTATGCTCCAAAGATAGAAACAAAGAAGCTGATTCTCTTTCTTGAAGATACCAAGCTTTTTTCCATTCTTGAATGGCTAAGACTGAAGTCAGTATGGCCTGCAAGGAACTGATTGTTTACCAGTACCCTTTCAAAGACAAGGACAGAGAGTAAGCAACAGTTAGAAGTGTGCTGCCCACGTAAAGGTCATGCAGCATTCCTCTTCCACAATGGCAGATTCAGCTATGTTTGCTTCCTTCAGACAGCTGATTAAAATACCCCTTTTACCCTCCTCTATGGAGGTCACTGAGGCAGCAGCTCCAGTGGCAATGGCTTTTCAGGGGAAAGTGATTGGGCTGCCACTAAAATGGCCAATTACATGCAGAAAGCTCAGCAGCCACAAAAATGTCCATTAGTGGCACAGGGAAAGCATCAGCATGTATGTATGACTGAATAGACTCGTCCATGTATGACTAAGATCTAGCTCAGGTATTGGGTTGGGTGCATTTCTGGATTCCCTGGCATGGCCTCATAGAAACCAATCTGAGGAACTAAATGAGGTGCTTCCAGCTGTAACCTGCTGCTTTACTACTGATGGAAATAGGGAAGGGCTTACAAGATACAGGCTGTCTAACTGCACTAGGAGCTCAAAGTTAGCTTGTGGCTGAAGAAGCATCCAAAACGTTGCAAAAAGCACATCAGCTCATAGTAAGGTATTAGAAAAAAGAATTAAAATGTCTACTAACTACTTGGAAAGGACACAGGCTGAAACCCAAAGGAGTGGATCTTAGAAGAGATGTAAGGACAGGTATTTGCATCTTCTCCTCTATATGCAAAACACAAAGGATTAAACCTAAGACAGAATTGGGCTGTTTTGCTCTCGGGTTAATTATGCATGTGAAATAGCAATGAAAAAGTGTTATTCCTACAGTAACACAAAGCCAGAATAGCATTTGGGTTTCATCTCTGAGACTGCAGGCTCCTCAGGGCAGCAAGTCTCCACTTAAGCTATGTAACACAGGGCTCATTGTGAGCTCCCACACCATAACAACTCCAGTAGTTTTCCTATCCACTTGTCCCAAAGAGAAAAGCACTGCTGAAGCAAGGACTGCCAGGAGGAGGAAGATCCTCCACAAGAGTCAGGTTTTGCCACCCCTTCCTAACAAAGGGCTTTGATGGCACTGCTGGGTACACTTGTGATTTTTTTAGTGTGCTAACCTGCAGTATTACTGTTCTACATTGCCTGATCTAGGTCTCTGTTGAAGGGCCTGATCCAGTCCAGCATGTTAGCACCAACCCATCTTCAGCAGTGGTTTAATTTGCTCGAGGTGCATTCACCAGGGCTGGTTGAGGTGCAGGCAAACACTGTTTCATCAACACACCTGCATCTTACTACCTTAAGCACAGGGGCAGGGCAGTCAACTGGGAGTGGCAGTGCCAAACCAGACAGGCAAGATTCATTGGAAACTCCTTGTCAAAGGCAAATCGTTGACGTTTTTGCCATAGGAATTTGTCAGCCTTAGAGAGCTCTCTTAGAAGTCACGCTGTAGTCCTGGGAAGAGCTCATCCTGATAGGATAGGATATTAGAGACAATTTAGGCCAGGTTTTGTGGGGTATTTGAAGTAATTCTGGGTGCTTTGGTTACTGGCAAGTGTCAGTTGCATCTGGGCTGTCTAAGGGGAGGGATATGAGCATATTAAAATGAGCTTCCCTCATAGCCAGATAAAGAGCATCACACAAGTAACATCTGTATCCTACCAAGGGACAACCAACAGAGCCAAATCCCGCTTTCAAACTAAAAACACAACTCTTCCAGACCACATGGCACCTCAGCACAGCCATTGCTGATCACAGCTCTGTGCATCAGTAGCGTATTACCTTTACAAAGCACCCTTCATTTCAAGTACATAAGCAACACTGCCCTTAAAAGGCAGAGCAGCTCCTGCATCTTTCCCAGCCACACTACAGAAACACTTCTGATGACTTCATGATCCATCATTTCTTTCCCTAAACCACTTGACACTAGGACTAACATCCCATTACAGGTAGGCAACACTTTGAAGAGGGCTATTGGGCATTTCCAGGAGAGACTTTAACCACAGGCCTCTGTGAATAATTTTTATTATGCTTTGGAAGTTCTCATCACACACATAATCACAACATAGACAGTTTTCTTAGTGCAAAATGCTTTGCTGCCTGTTGAACCAGTGTGTAAACTGTTAGCAAAAGCAGGAAGTTACTTAACAGCCAGTCAGTACTGCCTTAAGCACACATCTTTATTGCTACCCGCACTGCTTCACCGTCTGTACTTAAGGATTCATATCCACCTCCTCACATCAAGTCCTCATTTATCCCCATTCATAGCAAACCCTGCACTTCTCTGGTTGTATTTGTGAAGATAAAAGTCATGTGCCCTCTAAGCCTCTCTCTGACGATTACAACACATACTTTAGCCAAAACATCACCCGTTTTGGCTGCAAATCCACATGGACTCTTCCCATCCGGCCAACTCTTCTCTCTTCCCATTCTCCACCTTCTTTTCTGCCCATGAAGAGTGTGATCACTTCTACTTGTGAGGAAGACGATAGCGGGAAGTGTGGTGGTCCTTCAGGTCAAACTCATCATGGCCTTCCCTGAGCGGCAAACACACAGTGTAGTCAGAATATACTCAGACAGGGAACTAAACCTTAGCCATGGTACAAGATGTCTCCCTGCAGCCCTTAACTACAAGCCAATCCCAAGGGTAAGCTGTGAGCACCTGAGTGGCAGCCTCATGGAATGACTGCTTAAGATACTTGCTTGTAGCAAAAATATCTGACGTCTTTTGTCTGCTCATCCTTGCCTGCTGGAATGGGAAATGACAACAGGTCCCTCTTGCCTCTTCCCCTGTTTGACTCTGTAACTGATGGCTCATTGTCAGCACCATGTCTGTGATCTCTGGGCACATTAGCAGCTCCTATGACAACAGTTGAAGTGACAGTCTGCTCCACACAACTCTGAAAAGTAACTGCAGTGGCTAAAAATGCAGTGCACTGGCAGCTGTCTCAACCATGCTCAGACGCAGGCAGTGCTGAGTAAGACACGAGCTTTCATCTGCACCAGGCAAGTGATAAACTCACCTGCCAGACTGTTGATCCTGTTTTACTGATGTTTGCTGTCTGATACTTTGGTTTGGTTTGTTTTTAATCATCTAACATTGCCAGTCATCTGTTTTATTACCATTTTCATTTGTTCTCCCTCAATCCATTTCCATCTCTTCACAAAAGCATTTGCAGGAAATGAGAGAATATACACAAAAGAATCTTTTATTATCTTATTATTCTTAGCATCCTGCTGCCTAAATGTCATCCAACACTGATCTGAGAACACAGCCAATTACCCAATACCTTGAGAAGTCATGCAAACTGTGAGGAATAGCTTTGTATTCAAAAGGAATTAACCCTCCAAATCTAAGACTTGGAACTTTTTGAGTCAATAATCAAGCTACAGATGTTTAAGAACCAAGACTATAGCTGCTGCAAGACCTTACTGAGGAAAAAGGTTTGCCCATACATATTTCATCAAAGATTTTTGTGTATGATTTAAGACTGCAGAGTCTCAACCTAAGAAAAGCCTCAGGAGTTTATACTGTCTGATATCCCCTTTTATGGAAATCCAGCCCAGATCATTCATCAATGTCATTAACAAGCTGCAGGAGTCACTGAACAATGGTGTCGCCTATCCCATCCCACGCAATGCAGCACACCAGCTGCTCCAGACTTCACTCAGACAATGAGCCCAAACACACACTGGAGCAACACAGACAGAACATTCTTATCTAGGACCAGTTTAGTCCCTGAAGCTTGTGATAACTACTGATTGCACAAGGTATTTCCATAACCATTAACATCCAGCTCTGGGTTCCTCAAATCTTCTCTCCTCCTGCCTGCTTTTCTGCCCAATGGGAAGAACAAACAAAAGCAGCCCACCTTACCTATGACCAAGAGGAACTGAGAGACTTACCGAAAACAGCGCTGGCAGTAGAGGTCCCCATCGCAGCCATGGCAGCGCAAAGTGGCATCTTCATTGCAGATGCAGCACCATGGTAACTCATCCTCATCACTGTCATCTGCCATGGCAAGAGCTGTGGTGGTTGGAGTCTGGCTCTAATTCACAAAGAAAACAGAGACACAGAATTCAAATCCCAGCAGGGACAATACAGGACTTTCGTTGTAATGCATGATAGCCACAATGACACTGTCACATGGTCTATCACTCACTCTGTTGATCCTAAGTCTGAGAGATGGACTTGCCCAAAGGCCAAGGATAGGCTCCATATGTATCTAGATCATTAAATAAAACCCTAAGGTGTTCCCTATCGTTTGCTCATGAACTTGCACTGCTCAGAAGGTAAACAGGTATTCACCCTCATTTAGTGTCTACAGCAGTATACACCAACATTGTCCATATTGTTACAGGCACGAAGCCCAGATCTTGTGGCAGGCACCACAGCAATGCCAAGTGACAGAGTCCCTGCTGCAAAAGCAAGAGATCAAGCAGTTTTGCTGAAAGCTGTTATGTGAGAACGGAAAGCAGTGGGAAGGTGGGGGGAGTGTTTTCTCTCTGTTACAGAAATCATAAACTAAAACCTATCCATAAGGTCATCTCTGTAAAGCAGAAGGAGAAAACAGAAGTCTTGTGGAGCTGAACAGCCATATGCACACGGGGACACAATGCCTGGACAGTGGCAAAGGCAGCTTCCTAACAACAGCAATAAGATGGCACTACCTTTTACATCAGCAGTCCCAGAAGCACAAGGTGACATACCTATGAAATGGATGTTTTCAATAATGCTTACAATTAAGCAATTTCTTCCACTGGGGCCAGGCCTGTCAGGTGTCTGTGAGTCACAGGTCCATTCAATTCTTGTAATACACCTACACAGAGAAGGTGTATGTATTTCCATAATAAGGCTGAACTCCATTCTGAGAATGGGGTATCTTGTTACTAATTCCTTCCTCTGATGTTACGTGAGAAAACAGACAGTTGATTACTATCTAGAGGTTCTATTCTGCACATGCTAAAAGTACTGGCAAACCTCTCACCTACCCTGGTTCAGGGTGTAGTGTTCTAGACTGTGGCTTTCTTGGTCTAATCATACTGATGAGTTAAAACCCCACTCTCCAATATACATCCTGCAAAGTCTGTGCTAGCTTCTCAGGGTTTAGAGGACACCATCCCATTCAACAGAAAGACAGCCTGAAAGGAATTGTATTCCAGGGAGCAATTCCTTTTAGAAGTACAAGGATGACTCACAGCTGTGCTCAGGGCTTGTCAGCCCTGCAGAAGCCATTCTGCTTGTCTGTTCTGAAGAAGCTGGTTGCTTTTTCTTTCTGCATCAAGCAAACTTTTGCTGCAGAACTGCAGAACTCCTGAGACCCTGGAATGCGTCATTTCAAGAGGTCCTGACCAGCTCACTGACCTTTTGCTTGGCCTTCTTATAAAAGTTCTGTTGCAAGGGTCCTGGCTGGGTGGCCTGATCTGGAAGAATGTTGAATCCACTTGCTTCATCCAGGGCTGCTTCTTCTGTGAGCTGGTAACAACAGAAAGAAAGAAGCCCCTTGTTTCAAACACAGTTAGGAATTTCATTCTAGGCTCTAAAACCTCCTGCCCTTCTCCTCGCCCTCATACAGTAACAGGAGATTAGTTGATTACAAGAGAATACATCTGTCTGCACTCAACACTGTGTATACATTGTGAACAGCCAGTGTAGCAGCAGGGGCTTTCAGCTAACACAGTCTGCTTTGCAGTGCATCTAGCAGCAAATCCTTAACATCATGCTAATCATGCACATGTGGTCTGTAATCAGACAGAAACTTAAGCACAGAAAGCTCATGTATGCCTGCAGGACAATTCTTAGACATTTTAGACAGAAAGCTAGGCATAACCAAGCTAAGCAGCACACATCTCATCAGCCATGGTCTAGCTGGGTGGGGAAAATGATGAAACAAGAAGTAAGGAAGTACCAGTAGACTGGAGCTGGAGAGGAGACATACACCACAAGAGATGCTAAGCATGAATGAGAAACACAACCTGACAGACTTGATGTTGTCAATCACCCGTAGCTGAATGGCTCATGAGAGTTAGTATATTGGAAAAGCACTGGGAGGCAAAGGAGCGAAACTCTGCCCAGGAACAGAAACACACCCTTCACACGCTTCCCAGGTAACATACACACTGGGAATAACTGAGGAAGATAAACAAGGCTACAGCTGCCACTTCTGACCTGTTTCAACACTCTGCGAATGGCTTCCTCCTCAGCCACTTCCTCATCACTGTCAGGAAGCTTATAGGTTTCCAGTGTAACTGCAAGAGTAAGACACAGGAGACTGTAACCCACACCTGCCTCAAGCTTTGTACCCACTTACGAGCCAGCATTAGTCCTTTGTGGTGTAAGCTGGTTTTGACATTCTGGCTCTGGCACAGACAGATCCTTTCAGATGGGGTCTCCTCAAAAAGAGCATTACTGTTTGTTTTTAACAGTGGAAGAGGGGAGGAAAAAAAAACCTCACCAAAACCACAGGTTTGCTTTAAAAAGCTTTGTTAAGCTCACCAGAGCATGCCAGAATTATCTCAAAGGGTACAAGACAAAGCAGTCTGACCTTACAGCTCCAGCCTTTACCCTCAGCAAAGAACTTTCATGACGAACCAAGCCACAGCTTTACAGCCAGAACCAAATCTCTATTTCTTACAGAACAGGGGAACTAAATGGAGAAACACCTCTCAGAAAAGAAATTACTCTGCCACAGGAACTTGATTCCTCTCTTGACACTGTATTCATGTCTGCTACCCACCTTTCTCTGGGTCCTCGCCTTTGAGTGCTGCCAGTCTCTTGGCAACTTGTAGGATCTTTTCCTGCCTGGTGTTCTCTTCCCTCAGCTCAGCAGCAGCTTCTGCCAGAAGTTTATTCTTCTCTTCCTCTAGCTGTCTTGGGTCCAGATTTGCAGGGCAAACACAGTCTCCACTTTCCCGATTGAGATCATTCAAACTTTGGCTACTAACAGCTGCAAACAGACACACAGAGTGTGCTGGTGACTCAGCTGCAATGCTCCTTGGGCACAGACAACACAAGAAAAGCAATGGGATGAGAGCAGCTTGCTGTTCTCCATTAATCTGGGTGATAATGGAAGAAGGCATGTCACAGTACAATCTGCACTGTACGTGAAGAGAAGTGAGCTAATCTGTGTTTTACAGTGAGATCACAGAGATTTTACAGGGAGATTACACTGCAGCCAGGAAGATAATGGTATCACAGATTCCTGTGTTTTGTAACAGAGCACAGGTGTGTTAGGAGTAGCAACATCTCCTCCCCAGGGAAGGGTCTTCTTAGAGAAACAAGGAGGAGCAATATGAATAATACAACCCTGAGAAGAATGAATCATCTCTAAGCAAAATGAGACCCAGTACTGAGCCCCAGGGCTCCGCTTAATGTGGGAGTCATAAGGGGGAGATAAGGACAAACTGGACACCCAGCTCACCTGTAAGCTAGATAGGGAGGCATATATTCCCTTCTTACTATAGCATATACATTATGAGACAGAAACAGTTCTTTGGAAGCCAAAATAAATACCTTGAGGCCGGACTCTTGTTTTGTAATGCTCATCAATGGCAACTTCCTCAGACAACTGAGTTAACAGGTCATCTGTCTGCTGGACCAGACTTCTGGTATCAGGAGGTTGATATGCCTAAGAAATAAGGGGGGCATAGAAAAGGAAAATGAGAGGGAAGTAGCATACTCAATCAAAGCAAAAGATCACCCTAGGGGATGCATAAAAAGATGCATTCACTGATCTTGAGAGTCTCAGCTTATGGTTATCTGGTGTAAGACTTTCAAGGCTTCATTCTCAGAGTACTGAATGTGCACAACCCTAAATGTGGTCACCCAACCAAGGAAAAGTGGTGCTGAATGTACAGGAGTACATGCTGCTGGGTCTGAACCCCAGGTCTGACACTACCTCCAGTGTAAACCAGTGCCCCCAATGTAAATCAAATGACATTGTCAACAGTGACAGTCAGCAGCCTCACTGAAGCCTATGGTAACAGCTGGGTGTACAGCACTGCTGAGAAGGGAGCATAAGGAAATGATTTCTCAGGGAAAAGATCATTCATATAGGCTTTGAAGGGACAGCAAGTCATTCCTTTGCAATCTCAGCCTAACCACTCTGTGCTTCCATTTCTAGAATAATTAACAGGATTTGCCCAGCTGGGATGCAGTAACAACTGCAAGATACCATTAGAAGGGGGAGGTGATAAGCCCCAAACACACACAAACAGCTCTGCAAAAATATCAGCTCACTTAGCTATACAAATGGGTTGAGAGGAAAACCCAGCATTTATTGTAAAAAATAAACACATGAACTACATTTGACATAAAGGAACACACTGCATTCAAACTGAAGCAGTGAACTGGTGAAGACTGGCCATTTCCTTCTGGAACAATGACACAAACAGGAATGCGGAGATTTCTAAACGGAGTCAAGAATGGCCAACATGCTGGGACACCAGTTACTGTGTCAACTCAGAATACATTGCTGGCTAAAGAGCTGAGGGAGCTTACGGGTCTAAGAGCCTGGGAAGGAGGATCTCTCCCCTGCAGAACAGCCAACCGGTCCTCCATTTCCTGTGTGGATGGCACAGGTCGCCGGTAGTCCTCCTTCAGGGCAGCCAGCCTAGCTTCGATCTCAGCCTGAGTAGGGATGGACTCTGCAATTCAGAATAAGCCAAGGGAGGAGAATATTCCGTTATTGAAAACAAAAGGCTTCACTTTTTTTCCCTTAAAATTGTATTTCTTTCTGTAATCAGACTCTGATTTTTGCTCAGAACACTGAGCAAAAGCCTCCCTCAGCCCCCGACATGAATGATGGGTCCTAGTGTAGTGGCTTGGAGACTGCCCTAATACTAACTGCTACCCTTCTCTTCAGAGTCCCTGCCTCCTTCACAGTTTATCTCCTAGCCATAAGACAAGCATTAGGGTAATGTCATTTGGCAATCAGCTGACTCAGAATACTAGGGACAGTCATAGAAATAAGTGTCATTTAGGTGGCACAGCCCATTGCTGCCACATCTCTTAATGTAATCCCAGGCACATCAGACTGAAACCCTCCCCTGCCACATAATTGAGGAAATTTCCTCAAGCTGCACCATGGAGGTTTAGGTTAGGTATTAGAAAAAATTTCTTCACTATGAGGGTTATTAAGTATTGGAACAGGCTGCACAGGGAAGTGGCTGAGTCACCATCCCTGGAGGTATTTGAAAGACATGTAGATGTGGTGCTTAGGGACATGGTTTAGTGGTGGACTTACTAGGTTTACACCAAGGTTGGACTTGATGATCTTTTCCAACCTAAATGATTCTGTGGTTCTGGGATAATCAGGTAACCACTCTGCAGTGTGTTCTTTTCCTTTTAGAGATCACATATCATTTTAAAAATAGTTTATTCTCCCACAGGCACCACAAGGCTAAGTCCCAGAACCCAGCAGCTGTAGATGGGATGAGAGCCCTTTTTCTCCTCCGTAAGGCAAGGCTGGCCAGAGACTGGCACTGCTGTTGCCTGGAACAATGTTCCACAGGAAACCTTCTGCAAAATAGTTTGGTCCAAGACCCTCACTTCCTTCTGTTCCTATTGGCCTTGACACAGGCTTTTAACCCAAGAAATGGAAACGAAGAAGGTGATTTTACAGGTAAGATACTGCCCCAAAACAGAGAAGTAGTTTCAAGGGAAACCTCAGGAAGAAAAAATAAACTAGAAAACTAAGATCATGTAGAATCCGGCCATTATGGCAGCAGGACTTGGATGCTTCATCCAATTTTAATCCTTCAATTCTCTAAAAAGGCCTTCCCTCTCCCTCCAGATTCTGTATTTCCCAAGTAGCAATATTCCCACCCAATGTATCTCTAGTTTCTTCCAAAACTTACTTGGTTTCCTTTCCTCCCTGAGCTTCTCCAGTCTCTCTGCAATAGCTCTATCCTCTTTAGAGAGCCCCTGATACCTGGAGCCTGCTTGACCTGGGGCTTTTACAGAAGCTGCTTTCTGTTGCTCTTTCAGCTGGTTTTGCTTAGCCTCAAAAGCTGCCACACGCCTGTGACAAGGATGGAAAAAAGACATGACAATTGACAATAGGGATTTAAACCCGAGATATGAAAACACCCTCTGTGAACCCAACAGGCTATTTGAAGAATGTCACTGTACAACAGAACAGAAACCACTCCCTCCTGTACCAGGCTCTGCCATAATGGCATAATGAGGTACTCCTAAGAGTAAGGAAAGCCTGAGCTCATAGCTGCATGACACCTGGCACCATTTCCAAGGAGACAAGGAATATGTCACCACCAGGTTTGTGTTTCTAAGGCAACCCCAGTCAGTCACAGGCAAAGTAGGCAGATGGGAGCATACATACCACCCGCCCCAGACATATAAACAAAACCCCCAAACCCCATCCTTAATCTAATTCTGAACAAGCAAATACCCACATCACAATCCCCACTTTTGCTGGTCTTTATAAGGGAAAAGGAGCAAGGGCCTGAAAGGCTACTCTGCAGCACAAACAACAGTCTGTTGGCAAGCGCAACTCACTTTTTGTAGTTTTCTGGTGGTGACCATTTTGCTGAACTGCTTTGAGATCCCTCTCTGGAAGACAAAACCAACGATTTCTCTGAACTCAAGATAATGGCAATGCTTCAATTATTTAGTTTCTCAAGAAGAACCAGTATATGTGTCTAGATCTTCTCGTACAGCCCTGTCATAACCTCATTAATATGGAGAGTGATCAGCTTATGGAAAGGATTAAGATAGTATCTGCCTTAGAAAGCAGGGGACTTTATTTCTAGTCCTTTGGTCCAGTTGTTTTGCATCTGGACAAAATGTGATTTAATACGGTCATCAGTGACCCGAAGGAGGTGCGGCTGAATACCTTTGCCTCCCACAGCCTGCACCTCCCAGTTCAGAGAGCAGATAGAGAGCAGTTAGGTCAGACTCCCAGTGTAATTAGCTTCCATGCAGCAGTACACTATGAGAGGAGCTGTGGCATGCAACAAACACAGAATTATATAATGGACAAGTATCATAACAACATCTTCTAGCACACTTGAACACTGCACATCACAAGCATCTTGGGTAACTATTTTCTATATTGCTCTATTCAGGTTGAGTTGCTGAGCTACAAACTTATGTAAGGCAGTTAGCATATTTTATTCATTCTTAGGCACAGCTACAAATACATCTGTGCTGTGCCAAGGCCTGTGGAGTAACGAATGCAAACTTGTTGCTGGACCGCTTTCCAGTTCTAAGGTATCAGTTCTGAAAGCTATTTGCATGAAGAACAAAGCTTACAGAGCTGCAGCCTACATTTATTATCTACCTGCTATCCAGGCAGGGAGGATTTTCTTCCTCTGAAACTCTGTAGTACTGATATTAAACAAATGATGAAAAAAAAACCTAAAAGCAGCATGGAGAAGGGCTGCCCTGTTTTCTTAGTGGCTTTGGAGTTGTTAAGGGAAATTAGACTATTTCAAAACTGGAAGACTGAATACTGTATTTGCATCATTAACAGTTCAGTTTTTGTGAGCCACTTCTTCTAAAATGAAGACCTTTGCTAATGAAAGAAGCTCCTTTAGACACCTGCAAAGCCAGAAAACTCCCCACTTGCTGGTGAAAATGCCTTGCTACAGAAGATAGGTGGGAAAAAGAGATAAGAGAAATGCAAAAGAAGGAAGTGGACACAACAGGACTGGTTGTGAGAGAAGCTCTCATGTGCACTTTGCTCATCTTACTTGTTCATATGTATAACCCATGCTGCTGAATTACATTTTATTTATTTCCAAAAAGTATCTCTGGATAATGTTTGCACATTTTTTTTCATTTTAAAAGCAAACTGACTTTATGCCACTTAATTTTAAGCCTTCAGGCTACACAATGCCAAGACCCTTCATCAACGAGGATTTGTGTCACTGTTTGCCCACTGAGGTAATAATGCTTTAAACATCTTATTGTTGGGCCATTCAACTACTACAAACCTGATAAAAAGCTGACAGTGCTTGCAAAGGGGTGTAAATTTCTGGGCAAAAATACACTGGGGCTTAATTTGATCTTGTCCAGCTAAGGTGTCTGCAGGCATTCAATGCCTATCTATAAAGATTTAAACCTGGATCTTTCAGACTACTTTGTCACCAGGGAGAACAGCCACAAATCCTGAATCCTATCTTTGTACTGCAGAGCTTGTGTAAAGCAGTTTAATAGTGGCCTGACTTGAAACTCTAGGGTACAGGCAATGTGCATGCACAAGTCCAAGGCACAGCTCTCATGTAGAAATCTGCAACAAAACACTGGGATGTCTTTGGGTGAAGAAACGCTCCCATCTTACCCAGTTAGTTTTTCATGACACTGCTTGCACACCTTCTTCTGAGTGCTTCCACAGCGGGGAACAACAGCACTGAAGCTAAGGCAGCTTGAGCAGAACGACCGTCCGCAGTTCTTGCATCCACACTGCAGAGACACAAGAGAAAGCTTCATCACCCAGTCACTAACACAGTCCATTGCCATGGCTGACTGCATTCAGGAACAGTGCCCATGCCAATGTGCACTAAAACTAATGCTGGGGTTATGCTGATTTTTTAAGAGAACTTTATCACTAGCTGCTTCTGAAGATGTGGAACACTCCAGAGCCCTCAGGCACCAGCCTATACCTCCAGCTGGAAGCAGAGACACCAAGTCATCCCATGGTATAATGAAGTGTGTGTGGAGGGAGGAATTCTCTGTGACAGTGACCAAATATAGGATTAGATGTATGACATTCAATGGCAATGTTTTGTTTTTGCTGTAACCACCCATATTTAAAGACATATTGAGGTAAGCACACGGTTGCTCGGGAAGCAAGCTGGGAAAGCGTCCCTCGGTGCCGAGCGAAGCAGCTCCCCTTGCAGACCCTCGCACAACGGGGCAGGCCCCCGCAGGACCGGCCGCCCCTGACCCTCCTCAGCCGGACTTGCCTCTTTCTTGAAGACAGAGAATTTGGACGCACACCCATAACACCGGCTCTCCATGGCGCTACCGCCGGCCTGCGGCCCGGAGCTCAAGCACTGCGCTGCGGCCCTACTATGTCAAGCTCCATAGGCAGTAACCGGGAAGCCACCACACCTCCCTGCCGCCCATCACACACCGGGCCGGCGCCGCACGATGCCGCACGACACCGCTGCGCGGCGCACAGCCCGACGGGAGTTGTAGTCCTTATACCCGCCCTTCCACCTTTATCCTGCCGCCGGCACACCGTGGATAAACTACACTGCCCACTGCGCCGCACAGTGCACCCTGGGTGCCGCGATGCGTTGTGGTACCCGTAGTCTGGTGCCTCTATTCGGCAGCGAGGCACGGAGCGATGGCGGCCCGGGAAGACTCCATTTCCCGGCAGGCAGCGCGTCGCCGGCCGAGCTGAGGTGCTGGCGGGGAGGGTGGTCGTGAAGTGCTCTGTCCCGCATAAAGCGTTGCATTTTTGCCCATTAGCTGTTGGTTGGTGTTAATAAGACAATAATAATAATAAAAAAAGAATTGAGTGTATTTCGTAATGCTGACAGGGCTGTGCTAAAGTAACTATGCCTTTTTGTCTTAAACCTGTGGTGAGATGCTGGTTCAAGGAGCATGAAATCAGTCGAAACATGGAATGACTTGGGTTGGAAAGCACTTTAAAGTTCATGCAGTTCCAGCCCCCTGCCACAGGCAGGGACACCTTCCACTAGAGCAGGTTGCTCGAAGCCCCTGTGTCCAACTTGGCCTTGAACACTGCCAGGGATGGGGCAGCCACAGCTTCTCTGGGCACCCTGTGCCAGCGCCTCAGCACCCTCACAGGGAAGAACTTCTTAGTAGTATCTAATCTAAATCTTTCAGTTTAAAGCCAGTACCCCCTTGTCCTAATGCTACATGTCTTGTAAAAAGTCCCCAGCCAGCACTTCTGCCAGTGTTCGGTTGCATGCTGTGATAAAACACATGAATATATTGGCTTTCGCAAATTGTAGGTGTGGTTATGTGGATATAACCGTTTACAATAACAGAAACAAAGCTCCCTGAAGACAACAAGATTAGCCAACAAGTTAAAATGGACCAGAACTCTTGAGCTAAAGGGAGTCGCATAGCAAAAGAATTTGTAAAGGTAAAAGAAAGGGGAGGGGGGCTTGATATAAGAAAAGCTAGTGCCTGAAAAACATAGAGTTAAAGCACTTTTTAGCTTAACTTAGGTTGCAGAAAGAGAACAATGTTTGTGTTGTAAGTCTGTGGAATGTAGTAGCCCCACTAAACATGAGTTAATTGTTTCACACTAGTCTTCTAAAGCATCTTTAGCTTTAAAGAACAATGTTTGTGTTGTAAGTCTGTGGTGAGATAACAGGATTTAGTGGCCCCACTAAACATGAATGAGTTATTTCACACCATCCTTCTACTCATCAGTTAGTTTAGAGACGGAGCCTCCGGAACATCTGCTAGCTTGGGATACTCCTTGCCTGCCCATCCTGCAATAAATTTTGCAGGAAGGTCACACTGTTCTAAGTCTTTGCCAGCTGTCAGAAGAATTACAGATCTGGCTGGTTTCAGCTAGTTGTGTGATTACTGGGGGTCCAACTGTGCCAAAGGTGAAAAGGACACTGTGAGGAAGACCGCTTACTTCATCTTGAAGACCCCTACTCACAAGAGGAAGACTGCTCATTTCATCCTCAAGACCCCCACCCACAATCACTGGAGAGCAGTGCACAGATGCCAAGAGGAGGGGACTTATGATAATAAGTTCTTGGAGCTAGTTGTAATATTCCCCGCCTGTACGTGGGAATTATGAATATGTATGTGACTAATGCAATAGTGAAAGTATATAATCCTGTAATAAATAGTAATCACTTGCGCCTCTGGCTACAGTCGTGTGCCCAGCGCTGTTGCTTTTGCTTTATTGACTTTGTCCCTTGATAAAACCCTGTTATCTCGTTTAGAGGAGTGAGTTCGTATTTCACAATGCCTTCAGTTTGTATTTCACAATGCCTTCAGAAGTGAATGTCCTACAGTGGTTTTAACAGTGACCTAGTGTAGTTCTAGGTACCACTGGTTCCCATGGTTCATCTTGTTAATCAGAAGGGCTTCAATTACGTTTTGCATTCTTTCCAGTTCAATGGGTAAGTCCACACTGTAAATACTCTCTCAGTTAAATTAGGAAACTGACAGATCTATTCAAGGAAGTAAGCCTCATTAATACCTGAACGAAGCTAACTTTAAAGGAAGAAAACTCAGGTTTCCCATCTCAAGCTTATGGCCTTTTTTTTAATGGTAAAGCACATTAGAAAGACAACTGACTAAAACTTGGGAGCCAAACCATGTACCGATCCAGCAACCGTTTTAGAGACCACCTGGAAATTCCAGGTACTGAAGGCATAAATCAAGGAATTGAGACAAATATAAAAGAGAACCTACTCAAATAAAAGGATTAATTTGATGTTGTCTTTGCTACTGAGTTGATCAATGGGAAAAGAGGAAGAGGAAATTTCGAACTTAATGTTACAGTGCAACCTACAGAATGATAGGTGTAAACTAGAGTGCTGGTCTTCAGTACAGAATGCAAGCAATGCCTCAAAGAACCTTCCTATCAGAGCACTGCCAATAGCAGTGCACAGGAGGGAGTAAGGCGGTTCAAGAAACTGAACTTACCTGCTTAGAAGCAGCTCAGCTAAATTTGCTGGATCAGGAGAAGCCCTCACTCCCCCAAAGAAAGGAATCTTCTTCCCCTGGAGAAGAGGATGGAGGCACATTCTCCTCCCTCTGCTGGTGTCTACCAGAGGGGGCCTGGCACCAAAAGGCCATTTGGCAGCAGAACAGCAGCAACTTTTCTTTATTTCTTCTCTTGTGTGCAGTTGTTTCCCATGATAAAGGGGAAAGTCCTATGACTTAGCCTGTTAGGTTTTCAATTTGTTTGAAGTGTAGGAGAGATTGAGTCAATGGTCTTTGGTTCACAGGTCTTTTCCTTGCCAAATTCAGTTGTTAAAGCTGAGCCTTTAAAGGCCCCTTCCAACCCAAAGTATTCTATGATTCTGTGACTGGGGTTCTAGTCATGCAAGCAAGTGGCATCTCAACCACAGTTACTTACTTATGTAAGGGAAATTTGTTTCAAATTAAAGACAAAAAAAGTCCTATGAGTAGTACAATTTTGCGTGTTTCTGTGGTGCTTTAATCCAGGCTGGTTTTTTTCCTACAGCAGTAACCGACAGAGCTCTGTTCTGGTCCTTTCAGACTACAAAAGAATACCACTTGAAGGCCTCCCAGATTGGAACTTGCACAGTCCCAAAGCAGGTAGGATTTGAATACATGGACTCAAACACCCTTGTCTCTTTCACACACACAGGCTTGTAGAAGCAGGTATCTCCTAGCAGATTCTTTTTGGTATGCAATTAAAGTAATACCTATGTCATGAGGTATCTACATATATGGGAATACATATATATTCATCATATGGGAATACATATATATTCATCACTGCTAGATACCTGTATTATGAGGTTAAATCCTTACATGTTGGATTTCAAGGGGGGTTAAGTTAATGCTGGATTTTAATTAGAACCTCACAAAATCCTCCTATGTTGGTGTTTGAATCCTCAACTTTGGCTATACTGTCCATTGTGTCACTCAATTCATCTGTCTCAGAATATGAGTGTTAAAAGCAAGCTTATAAACCTTTTCTATCTATGGACAATGCCTGTTGCGGGAGGATTATTATCTGTTAAATCTAAGTCCCCTTACGCTGTCCAGTTGGGTACTCCTAAGCTCTTAGCAGGGTTTGTGAATTCTACAGCTTCTCCATTTCAGATTCACAATTAACTGTGGGTGAAAATGAGCAGCAGTCATTGTAAGAAGAATGTCATTCATCAGGATGTTTTGTATCTTGCATTTTCCTGTTTGGCGAGCCACAAATTTATTGATGAGTAATATATAACTGGAGACTGTTGGCAGGAAACCAGAGATTTTAGCAATAATTAGAGGATAGCAGAAGGTTTTGATATCTGCAGATGGTCAGGAGGTGGTTTGGAGCCTGTGTGGAAGCTCCAGCTAATGTGCATATCCCTTAAGGAAAGCGCTTAACAAGGACCTGTAACAGAACTCATGAAGATCAGAACCTTTAGATCTTGGATCGAAAAGCCTTTCCTATGAAGGAGAGAACTTACTCATCACGTTGTATTTCAGCCTGTCTGTACATTCAGGAATGCACTTCTACATCATTACTGGTGAAGGGCTTGCTTACAAATAAGAGAGCCTGATCAAATCACATTGCCACATCTCAGGCTCCTACTTTACCAAATACGGGTGAACACCTAAAACACTGGACTTATGTAAAGCTCCACATCAGGCCATGGGAAGGGAATCTAAAGTAATATGATAAAAATTGCTCGACACTGTATATTTAAAATAGGGACCCATTCAACTGTGCATACAGTAACAGTTGTCACAGGATTATTACTTTTGCACCTCCGTGAAGGTCCTCAGACTCAGGGAGAAGAATTAGCTCCTGTGCAGTGTAATGATCTGCCATGCTGCTGAAATTGTTATGTCCTCCAAAAAGGTGCCAATTTAAATAGTGAGCCAAATTAAATGAGGGAATGTTTTCTATAGCCAAAAGAGAGGAGCTTGCAAAAACCGTAAATATTTGTTGCCTGCTGTGCATGCACTTTACCACCACGATGCCAGGAAGCTCTAGATCCTGATATCCACAACTTATCAATGATCATTCTTCTGAGGATGAAAATTAACCAGTGCTTAGAAAGGAAAACATTATAGGGCCTTAAAAAAACCCACCTAAGCCAACAAAACCAAAACAAAACCAAAAGTCAGCATCATCAAAAGGTTCTTGGCTGCCATCCTAGCACCAGGAAAGCAAACTGGCATTTTTTACGTGCTCTTCTTCACAAAGGCATAATTGCAGCAAGAACTTTTATTTATTACACTTTGGCATCTTCCAGTTTCGCCACATTTAGTTCTGAATACATCAAGTCAAGGCAAAGTGTTGGCTGTCTACAGATTTCTTTCTCTTCAGACATCTCAGAGGCAGAAGATTTCTCTCTCCAGACAAGGCACTTCCCACCTAAAGCGTTCTCAAAAGTTATTTGCTCCATGGGACTTCACATTACATTTTCAGGCCTCCTTTTTAATATTTAGTAATACCCTATGGACAATTTCAATACCTGAGTCAGACCACAGCAAATTATCAGCAATAGGTCCTTCGTTCCGTTTGCTCTCCCTCACCTCTACTTTCTCCCACTCTTAGATGTTTCTTTGGTTAAATCTGTTCCCTGATCTGGTTCATCTCACAGAGGAGTAGTGCAGTTCTTTGAGTTGAGGTGCTGTACAGACATCCTTCAGTGTAAATTGGTGGTTTCCAGGCTAAGCTAAGGGCTATACAAACTGTATAACTGAGTTTGGCTTCAAAGCATAAACATGTGTCTGAAGGTTTTTCTGCAAGCATACTAGAATACACATTAGAGTTGGGTAGTAACATTTGTCACAATACAGGTTAAAGTTACTACATAGTTGTATTCTGAATTCTTTTATGGGTACAGTTTCTATCACTAGAAAGTCTTGAAAATCTGCTTACATAGTTTCAGTTCTGCTGTTGTATTTCACCATGCAACACTAGCAATGGAAATAGTATAACAAAAAGCTTCCAGTCTCAGACATTCCACAAACAGGAACACTTTTGTCCATAATTCCCCATGCAAATTACACCACTGTAGACAGAAGACTAAGAGATCAAGCTTCGAGCTTTTCAAAGGTATCGGGGAGCTGTATGTATTGCTGATATTAGTGGCATCTTGACTTTCACCTGTTGCTAGCTGCTCTCTTACTTCCATTCTGTGTTTTCCAACTCCTATCTGTATTGTACTACCTGCCAAATGTATAACTGATTACAAATCCTGGCAGCTCCCAAACTATATCACTGTGAAATTCAACCAGCACAAAGTTCCCAGTGGAAGTAAAGTCTGCAACCTTCTCTGTCCCACAATAGGGGCCAACTGCAGGTGATGTAGGTCGGCTTCCATCATGTATAAGCAAGTAGTCATAAATGCATCTGTCACTATCTTCCAGCTCAAAGGATAACATTTTGAGAGATATCTGGAGAAAATACAATCAAAGCACTTTGCTTCCAGGTTATATCCTTTTCTCTTAGTCTTTGTATGTTAACAAGCACAAATGGTCTAAATTCCTTATGTGCAGGCACTATTTTTTTTTGTGTTTGCACCACATCCTGATCTTAGAATCATCCCATAATGCAATGCAAATCAGTAGCAAGTTATTTGCTTAGTTCCTCAGCATTTGGAATGGAAGGAGAAGCAAGGGACAAGATTGATCTTGTACACTTTGATTCTTCTCTCTAGAGAAATATAAAACCAGCACCTGTACAGTGTTTCAGTTTCCTAGTGGGAACTGTTACCTAGGGATTATTATGAACAAAGCCTACTGGTACAAACCAGATTCCTAAGAGTTCACGTGTGTACAGGTCTTTTCCCTTGCTGAATACCTCAGACACCAAGATCCAGCATAAGTTCTTAAACTGGATTTTTGTGTTGAGCTTTTTACTCAGAGAATGCCTGCTCAAAAGGTGACATTACAGCTCTTATTCTCAAAGGCAAAAAGTGATTCCATTAGAGAATGCTGATGAGACTCACAGATGAATGAATCCATATCTTACCTTGTATCCTACCGGAGAACTGATGACCCAGAAGCATGCTCGGTTTTTGGGGTATTTATTGGGGTAGTTTGGAGAGGTGATGATTCCATTTGAGTCTGTGAAAGTATCTCCACAATTGACTGAGGAATAAAGGAGGAAAACAGAGAAAGGTATATTAACGAGAGTATTTTGGCAATAGAAATGAGCTTGCTTACACTAACTGTATTCTTTCCTGAAGCCAAGAAAGAATGTGCTACCATGAAAACCTACTGCTGACATACTTAATTTCTTTGCTTAGTATTTGTATCAGTGGCTGTACTGAAGGAACTAAATACATGGCTGCTAACTAACCTTTGGAGGACAGGAAACAGCTGCATCTAAAGCTGTATCTGTCTTTACAATTGAGAGTTCCTATATTAGCACAGCATTCCAATGGTACCAGCTTACTACACTTTCAGAAAAGAATTAGCTTAAGTATTCAAGATTGCATTACCAAGCTAGAGCTAATGCTGTCTAGAAATGACTCCATCAAGACTAATGCAAAAAGAGTAAAAGTGCCACATTTCTAAGACTTCTTCAATTTATGGTTTAAGAAGGTTTTGAGTTGAAATAAGGCAATAACAAGTTATTTAGGCTGCTGCCTTCTAACTGAAAGCATGTTTCAGCACAACAGAATTTTATCCAGCAGTCCATAAGGCACTTATGTTTGCACACCAGACAACCCTCAAGTGACTACAGTAAGCACTGTCTTCCATGTAACATAACAAGTCTTTAATTCAGACGGTTTAAGTCACCCAAGGTTAGTACCATTCCTGTTGCATAAAGCGCCACAGAATCTTCAATAACGTATTGTTCAGGTATTGGCTCTACATCCCATTGGTTGAAATTTCTTATTGAGCTCTGCAGCCTTTGGCTGCACTGTTCCTATTAGTTACAGTCATTGCATTGCTTTTATTTAAAGGAGTGATGTGATGAAGCCCAGCAGAAGCTTTCAGAGGAATGTGAGTGGAGTCACAGGATTACTAACATTACACCCATGCAACATCCCATTTTCTGTTTCCTGCTAACCTTCAACCCCATCACTGCCTAACCTGCATTAGCAATTGCTGTGGAAGACACCGAAACAAACCCCTCTGAAGTACACATTCAAAATATTCAGTTCTTCCATACAACTACTATTCATGTTGTTCTTCAAGCTCTGTAAAGAAGTGTTCATACCCCTGTTGTAGGAGGCTCTGAATCCTGTGGCTGTAATGCTCTCATCACTTGCAAACTCTACCAGCATTGTCGATCCAGATGCCACTAAGGAGGGCAGTGGCCCCTTCCCACAGTATTTGTCCAGCAAGACAGGGGAATTCTTGCTGTTTCCATTGTAAACTTTTATATAGTCAGAAGAACAGTCTGAGGAGGGCTGGAGATCAAAAGCCTCAAACTGCAGGAAAATCTTGAGAAACAAGGAAACAGAGGTTGGGTTGAATGCTGAACACAGGGAAAGATTCAAACCATCTAGCTGTTACGAAGTGAACTAGAATTTCATATTCATTTTGCTATTTGTGTAATACTTAAAATTCACTTTCCATATAAAAAGAGCATAAAATTTCACCTAGCTACCCCATTACTGAGCCCAATGATTGATGTTTGACTATTGCTTGTCTTTGAAAAGCCATCCAATCTTAGCTGTATAATAATCAAGCTAAGTAATGCATCTGAGAGTCCTGATAAGTCTTACGAAAATTGTTGAGACTGTCTTTTAATTTACTGCTTAACAAAATAAATGTCTTGGTCCATGAAAATGAATCCCAGAGGGTACTCATAATAATGAAGTAATGTGTAGCCTTGACACTGTGATTCAAGCCTATTTTCCACCTAATAAAGCTTACCTTACTTCGACGGATGCGAATCAACCAGAGGCAGTTGCTATTGTTCGGGTACGGGGATGGGTAATTGACAGAGGAGAACAAGCCTTTGGATTTAGACAACACAGAGCTACAGCAATCTGAAGGGAAGAACCAAACGGGATTGAAGAGAATGAAAACGCCACAGAAGTCTTTCAGAAGTGCCTGACAAGTCTCTTCAGCCATTTACATCAGTCAAACTTGCAAAGGAGAAATGAATTAGAATGCTTACAGTTGTGTTGATGTTCCTTGTGTCAAAGTTACGTAAGGCAAATAAAGCTGCTTCAGCTACTCATGTTTTTTTTAAAGACAGTGGGGTTTCACTCACATACTGTTCTAAACAAGGCCTGGACCTTTCATGAACTTCCTTAACCTCAACAATAGGAGTAGTTTCAATTGTATCACTACATCAGTTCCCATCAGCAAATGTGTGTGTATGCCTAAGTTTGTGCAAAACCAAGCTTGAAAACTAGCTTCTGTCAAAGCAAAGACAGGTATTCACTGGGGGAAACAGTGGAAGAGAGCACTGAAGTCAAGCTACAGACCTAGTGACTGGCATGCAAAGTCTGATTTCATTGTCTTTTGGCCTTCCACATGTGGTCTTCATTTATTGTGCTGTGTGTAACTCTCCAAATTAAAAATTATGAATATGACATCTGAACATTGGAATTTGACATTTTTCTCTTGCTTGCTGCTTTCCCTCGGACAACTGGACATTTTGTTCTTTTTTTAGCCCCTGAGTTATCCTTGGTTTTTTTTTAATTTAGCCCTTTTCTTCCAAAACATACAGGTCTAATTATGAAATTACGTTATAATGGTATTGAAGTAAGATTCATTTCCAGCTCCACTATCAAGAAGAAATATCACCAAATACTGTCACTGTCTTTACTATCACTTTATTATAACAATTAAATTATCACTGTCTTTGAAACCAGACACTTATATTGTAAACTTGCCTTATCTGAAGTTCAGAACTTGGGAGGAACCACTCAGGAATGATTTCCTTACCTGACTATCCAACTGAAGGAATCCTGATTCCCACTAATTACTGCTGTTTGTTTAACTAAGCTCTTAACACAATTCAGAACAGAATTTGGTACACTAGTATGTAGCCTGTATTCATGTTCTTGCTATTTTGGTGGAAACTGACTGAATAACATCTTGGGGAAGTTGAATACCATATAAATCAATTAGCCTGCATACTGGGATTTGAGGCAAAAACTGAGGAGCATGGTGTTTTACCTGTGTTTTGTGCATCTCAGCTGAAGAGTTCCTGCTACAGAGGAATACTTAAGGTATTTCTAGACCTTAAGATACTACAGTGATGGAAGTAGGTAACTATACAAAAACCTTGGGGAATTACCTTCCAAGAGGATGTTCTGATCAGCCTAAATGGCACCCATACTTACAGCCCTGCAGTCATTTTCCAATTGAAAGAAATCCCAAACCTGCTGGCACTACTGATGCACATGACTTTATGCTATAATCATGGTTGAGATTAGTTTACGTGCTTTGGAACCTTCAGATTTTTCATGAAGTGAGAAGTTGACAGAAGTAGCATCCATGATTTCTCTGATGGGTTTTGCTTATGTCAAAGAGCAGGGACTAGGTGAGGGTAACTCAGAATGACAGTCAGTTATTGAAAGCAAATTGCCCTTTCCAAGAAGGCAGCAGCTTGGCACAGGGACAGTTCTGTTCCCAGGTGCTTATTAGCCCTCTTGTAGGGCAAGGGAGAGATGTATTGAAAGGACTGTGGGCTGTGTTCCTTTGGGGGATGTCTGACATTGCCTGCAGACATCAGCTGTCTACAGATTCACATGCCTTCCATTTACAGCACTTACTGCACTTGTAGAGCCTGTTGATTTTAGCTACATCCAAATTACTCAGCCCTTCTCTCTGCCCAATGGGTATAGAGGGATCAGGAACTGGTACAATAGTTTGTTTCCCTGGAGTGCTGGAGAAATCATACCTGTAGAAATAAGAAAATGACATTTCTCTTAAACAGTGAAGTTCTTTAATTACATGTACCACATGCACAGAATTTCAATGGAAAAGGGCAAGAAGTTTCTCAGAGACCAGTTTAACCTTTTCTGAGGAGGACCAGCATGGCAGACACTATGCAGCAGCTGAAATCAAGAAACAAGACAAAGCTGTATTATCCTGAGTGAGGAGAGCTTTCACCAGCATCCTCACAAAGTGAACTGAATCCCACCTTCATGGTTCCAGAGGCAGAGGGGCAGGAGCTGTTCTGCCTCTGGAACCGCTTCTGTCTCAGTTACTAATTGTTCATTTGCCATCTGCAGTTTTCTGCCTCTGGAAAGACAAGTTTGATTTCATGGTTTTGTTCAGAAGTTGTGACTTGCTAGTGGAAATAAAGGAGAAGCTTGTACATTATGTACTAAAATGCAGCCTTAGTGTGCCCAGATGTGTATGAGGCAACACACAACATTTTAATGATGGAAAAAATTTCATCTTCCTTCTCTCTGACCCTAATGTCTATGTTACTATGTTAATGAAATCATATAGACTTGAGAACTGTTAAATCAGTGACTCAGTAGAGTTAGGCTGTGGACCATAGCCAGGTCAAAGGCCTCTATCAAGAGGCAATGAAAGAATGTCCCAATTTTTTCCTCTATCCATATCAACTCTGTTTTCCAAGAATCCTGTTGACAGTGGAAACATGCTCACCCTTAATTACAAGTACTAACTTAGTTTTAAGTGAACAGCAAAAGTCATTCCCATTTGGGAAGGAGCAATTCCTTCTTCCTAGATCTGAGCAGATCTGAGAGTTGTTTGTACCTTTGAAAAGGTATCTCAGAAAACAACTTACGCTCCGTAGTGCATCACTGAAGAGTAGTCATAGGGAAGGCCCAGATTTTTGGAATTCACTTTCCCAAAGTTCCCTTGTTCCCCTTAAAGGCAGAAAAACAACATTTCATTCAGAACAATTACTGCTGCTCTAATACTACACTGCCTGCTGTCATAGTCCTAAGAGTAACACAGGATATAATACTTGTACTTATGAGAACTTGGATCTATCAAAGCCACCAGAGCCTATAGAAGTACATGGGAACTCATTTTCACTTAACCTAGTAGGTTTCAGAATCAGATAAATCAAAGTTTTGATACAGTCGATGAATCCATTCCACTGGGTCTCTTGTCCATGGTAAGCAAGCAATGTCAGAGCAGGGAGCTGAGTGCAGTCAGCCTGGCCTTGAGGCTAATGCCCTGACCACTGAGCACTTCTTTCCAGTTCAACATCTGTACCTTTATTATTGTAACTAGTGGTTTGTAAACCGCAAGCCATCTGGACAAGAGTTCAGGATTGGACACTCAGAAAAATCTCTGCAGACTACAGAACTTGGCTGGCAGGCTTGCAACCAGAGCCAGTCTCTTCCAGTAATGTCCTTCAGCACTGGTCCCAGAGAGGGCTCGGAAACACAAAGAGAAGCTTCAAAATCCTGAATTACAGAAAGTTTGGGAATAAACATGAGTTTGGAGCTTTTCATAGTTCAGAAATCTCAGCTAAGGCTCAAACTGGTTCTCAGCAGCATTGGCTTTCCTGACTCTATTATGTTTTTATCTCAATTCCTCTTATCTGTTATAGTGACTTTAGAAACAATTACCAGCAAATGCACAGCTTCTTCTGAGATGATGAACAGAGAACACAGTTCCAATGCAGTGAAACATTTAAGAATATGGCTACTGTTTGGCACGGAAGTGCTTTGCTGAATTGATTTGCTAAAAGAAGAGAAAGCAACAGCAGCCTGGCTGTACAGAGGTGCTGCCAGCAAAATAGTATCTACCTAATCACATGCCAGAGAGACTTGGCTGTATAGACCTGCACACATGTGGGGACTTACTCTATCTTTTCCATTCTAAAAAAACCCCTGCCTCTGCCAGAATCTAAATGTAATGACTCAGAAGAGTTGAAAATGAAGCTTTGGCTGAAGGCTTCGAGTAGTTTTTCTCCCCCTCCAAAGTTTGGGAATAACAAGCTGAGAGTTTCAAGTAGCAAAGTGGAGAGCAACCCATGAGGCTGCGTTTTATCTAAACAAAGAAGTAGGATGGCTTCCAAGGTGAATTGCTGGGTAAGAGCAAAACCCAGCAAATATCTACAGCACTGGAGTCCTGGCAAGAGAAAAGCAGGTTGCGCAGGAGAGCTGGGAAGCTGCACAAGGTCTGGAGGTCTAGTTCTGTACCATGGAGGTCAGTGGAACCTCTGCCCTCAGCACTGTTAAAAGCAGCATGTTTTTACAGGAGATGTACACCAACAGTCATCACAAACATAACTGTGGTGCTTAATTTCCTTTTCCCTGCATACCTTTGCATTTTCTTACAGTACTTGTGCTGCAGACACTCTGCACTCACAACTCCCTTGTAACACCAATCTTCTCAGCCTCCACTCTGGGTGAATACTGTTAAAACAGTGAAGATATACCCCATCTTCCTTTGCATAGTCTTGTCATCCTCACCTCTTCCTCCTCTTTTAACCTTTTATGATCCTGTGCCTGAATCAGAGCTTGGTTACATCCATATCCTTTAGGAGTAATGACATCTGAAACTGTGGACCGCTCCTGCAAACCTAGCGTAAGATTTAATGTATGTCTAGTATCATTGGTATAACTTCACATTTTCAACTCCTCTTTCCTAGTAGATCCTTTGCTAGCATATCAAACATAGCATGCCCTTGTTATACGATGGCAAACAATTCATAGCAGAATTACATCTTAACAGTAGAGCTAAAACCTCAGTAAAGAAGAGCACAAATGGAATTTACTTAGGATATCATGGGAATAGCTGAAAAAAAGTTTGGAGAACAGTGTGTTTAGGAATTTGTAATAAAAACAATCAAGTTGCATCTGGAGAAAAAGATAGATACATTTTCAGCTGTGCATGACACTGAAGAGTTTAATATCTTATTTGACTTCTTAGAATTTGGTATTAACTGTCCAGCCTCACTTACTACTATTTTCTGTAATGAACTAAATACACTATTATCTTTTTACAATTGATGGGGTGACCAGCTCTCTCACAGCTGTCAGATAAGTAATTCCTTGCATCCTTTCTTCCCCTACTTTCCTTCTATGTACCAGTTCCTCACTTTCCCTTGGACCTCCTACCATTCCTTCTACTCTCCACAGAGCCTGGATCCCTGTATGTGCTCCCATGTTCCCAGCACACAGGCCAAGGTCACATGCCCAAACTATTCATCCTGCATTCCTTTCCCTAAATAGCGTTCACTTTTCTCTTTACAGATTTACCACTCCTGATTCCTCCCCATTGCTCCTTCTTTTCATGGCAGCGTATATCATTCTCTCCTCAAGGAGGAAATAATTCCTCTCACATCATGCCAGGTCCCATAATTTTGTACATGCTGATGGCTGCATGTGCTTCCATTCTTTCCACACTGCGTCTCTTGCTCACCTACATTTTAGGCTATGTGTATTTCATTCACTGCCAGTGCCAAGATGCCCACCGGCTGCCTTCCCTATTTCCACGTCTTTTCCTAAGATAGAGTTACTGTGTGATTCCCCACCGTGATCTCTGAATATCATGTTTTACCCCAACTCAGTTAAAAGTCTCATAGTTTTGTCTCCTGGACAAGTCTTTGCTACAACAGTTTGCATTTCTGATGATCTTGATATTTTGGATATAAGGTATGGCTAATTTTAGGCTGCATCTGCCTTGGAGGGCCACACTAACATAGGGGTAGCCATAGAAATTCCCATACTACAAACACTGAAATAGAAATTCCATCACATTGAATGTGCTGCTGCTGCTGCAATTCAGCTAGCATTAATCATGATTCTTATTTGCATTGCTGTTCACAGAAGAAACATTCTCCTTCATCTGAAAGTGTACGTTTTCTCTTAAGATTTAGTGGACGTACCTGCCACAATATGTTCCCACATAATCTTGACGAACCTGTCCCGATCACTCCGTGCCTGTTCATGGATGAAACCCAGCGCGTGGTTCATTTCATGCTGAATTGCTCCTTTATCCATGCACCCGTTTTTCACCAGGCCCACTGCTTGACGTCCTCCAATTTTCCCAAAGTAGGACCAGCAGCTAAGAAGAGGCAATCAATAACCAAAATGATCACACTCAGCACATACAAAGCAATTATGCAGATGTGCAGCCACAGAAGGGGCCATGCAAATAGTCACTGGTGTGAGATATCTAGTCTTCCAGAAGTTGGCAAACTACATAGGGGTGGAAATAAAGCCTTTGAAGCTTTATTTGAATGATATATGATATCATATTTCTAGGAAGGATATCTGATATGATAAATGAAGCAGTTTAAGTAGTTAAGCAAAGAACCTGAAACAACTGTAATACTTTTTTACAACAATTAAGGAAAAGATCTCCTTTTGAATTATAGCCCATTAAGTCCACACATACATTTATTCCTGCAGTCCATTAACTGATGTAACTACCAGCATGTCTAAGGAAAAATGAGAAACTGCACCTGCTCTCTGAATCTTGACTCCTAGCTTGAAAAAGGGCAATTACTTAAATCCAACACAAACCAGAAAAACAGCTGAAAGACCTTTTGAGTGCTTTCACTCCTGGGAGATTGGGAGCTTACCTCTGCCCACGTTCAACATACACATAGTCCTTTTCTGTAGTGCGGTTTACAAACTGCACACAGGTCAGCGTGGAGATCTCTTGCAGAGCATCAGCAATCCAAGACCTCTCTGTCATGGCTAGAAAGAGGCCAGGAGAATGCTTTTTTGGTTAATCAAGAAGCGCACTGATGGAGTGCATTGTTTTAAAACTTCACAGGACTTGTTAGCTTTTTATCAGGCAAGTAGAACAAAGAAAAATGGCAAAAAAGCCTTCAGAAATCTTGGATTTGATTGTAAAGGGAGATGTAAGAATTATGGCTGGTCCTTCTGCATGTTCTATAAGTGACAGCTGATGGAAAGCAAGACTGGAATTGTTTCTTCCTTTACAATAAAAAATTGAGAGTTTCAGATACAAATAGTTGGATTACAGTAACAAAATTGAGCCATCTGCCTGCAGCTAAGCACCAAAAGACCTGTTTTGTTTATAAGAAATGTCCACACAGCCCTTGGAATCACTTGAGCTAGCCGGTGTTCAGCAGCTCTGAAGATCACAGTGTTTCTATTCAGGGACCAAATAAAATTAGAATGTTTATCTAATTTGGAACATTTTGGCCTCTTTTGGCTTAGTCACTTATCTACAACTGATTTGTATCTCAATTTCCTCATCTTTAAAGTCTGAAGAGAGGGAGGTAGATGGAATGACCCTTACCTAACCACTAGAGTGTATGCTGCAGTTCTGAAAGCCTGTGGGCAAAGGAACAGCCTGGATAACACAGAGACTGGGCTTTCCTCAGCTCCAATGATAATACAGGAATGGGAATCAGGCACAGGCTTTTTTTCCACTTCTATGCATTTTTCTCTCAAGGTAAGGTCATGTATGAAGGGTCTGTATGAAAGCCTCAGCAGGGGAGAGGTAGAAGACCTGCACAGCCCATACAAAGTTTTCTAGATGAAGGCACTGGTCCTGCAGCCTTTTGCACAGAACAGAGCTATTGACTGACTAGAGGGAAATAGTAAGAGAAAAAGTATCTCCAAGGATTTTTTTTCTCCCTTTTTGCCTCTACAGGATTTCTAGTGTGGGATATACCTATGGAAGATTTGAAAGCAAATCTGTGTGTTAAAAAAGCATTCCTAGTGGTAATTTTGAATCAAATTACTTTCATAATGTGAACAAATTCTGTTACTTCTGTGCTTGCTAAGTATCAAAGTGCATTGTAGCTAACAGGAATGAGCTAAAATTAGCTGGTATTTATGTAACAACTACTGCTCAAGTAACCACACATTGTACTGAAGTCTTAGCCAGGCTACCACAGGGCTAGCAGATTCGCAGAAGAAACATGTCCATAAATCCTCATTTGAACCAAGTTTGCTTTTGGTGCATGCCACACAAACACAAAACAACAGAGAGAAAATCACTTCACAGCAGCCATTTGCATACACTCACAGAAATCAGAAGAGATGTTAATCGGGACCTTGACAAGTCCATCCTGTGATTTGGGCCATAAACAGCTCTCACAGTTAATTGCACTGCGTCGTCCTCTTCTCAGGAGGATGTCTCCTTCATACACAGCTATTTCACTGCCTGATGAAGAAAATAATGAACACACAAAGCACTGAGAAGGGAAATAGATGTGCAGAAGGGAGGTGAGAGGTATCCAATAGCTAAGCTTCTGTGCCTTTGGAAATTTCTTTCACTGAAGTTCATTTCCCAATAATGTGAAAAAGGATTAGTAAATTAAGACTGAGTGAATGGAGCATTCACAGTATGCTAAGACTAGTTAAGTCTGCCTTGCTTCCTGGATAGAAGAGATTAATATTAATACAGATGTCATAGTGCAGCTGTAATCAAAGTCGTGACTAACTATACTTCATCTTAAGAAGCTTTGGGAGCCTTGAGAGTGGAAGGTTAAGTATTATAAGTCATTGCTCTCTTCACTAGAGCTTGTGGAATTAAAGGAAATCATAACCGACCTCTGCAAAAATGGGATGAATCATACAAAAGAAATTACTATTTTTATCATGCATATTGAATTCATGCAAGTTATTAATTTCCAGGTTAACTGTTAATTTAACATGACATGCTCCTCAGTTCTAACTCCAAAATACTTGGAATACATTTCACAGACAGGAGGTATGTACAAAATGCACAATAGTTTTAGGTACAGCAGACAGGGAAGTGCCTTATATCACACAGGAAAAATCAAAGTGAAAAGTGTTCTGATTTGCTGAGGCTGCATATGAAAAATAGAACATTTCATGTAGCAACAGCTCAGTAAGTCTTAATTTCTATATCATGACAGCATAAATAATCACACTGAATGTGACTTTAAAACACATCTGAGTTCTGTGAATTGTTTTCCACTGACGCTGGAAAATAACTTCAAAGAGAAAAACATACTGAATAATGAGCATGAGGTATAGAGAAGCAGCCCCACGAAAGCCTACAGTTATTGATATAATAATTACAATCAAACTCACCTAAGTCACTGTTTCTTGTAGCTTTCTGAAAAAAAAGCATGTATTTTAGTAAGTTCTTATCTCCATAGCATAAAACTTCTATTATGAAGAATCACAGCAGCAAAAGCTTGTAACTAATTTTAAGACAGAGCAACTCAGCAGCAGCAGCAATGTAAATTCTCAGCATCTGCGAGCAGGGACACACCTGGACAGGTTTACTCAGTGCAAAGCTATAGAGAAATGCTAAATGAGTTGGCAGAAGAAAGTACTTCATCTTCATGTTTCTGAGATGATCTTCTCTGCTCTGCAGCTCCGTTCTCAAAGCTGTGGCTAGTTTACTTGGGGCAAGTTTTATGGGAAAGCTGCTGCTGTGGTTAACAAGTGTAACAAAATAAGATAGCAAGAAGTATTTTCACAAAACAAACAAGCTGCAGGACCTCTCAGGAGAATTTCCAGGCTCTCATTTCTTATTTATCTTCAGAAAACAGAGGAAGTGGAGCAATAGGAAAGAAAACCCAGCAACCTTAAAGTGACTCATCTTTAATTCTAAGAGGAACCCATGCGCTGCTGCAGGTCTCCTTAATGCTGAGCAAGGGACAGGATACGTGGCAGCAATCTGCAGCAAAACTCAGTGTCAAGAAACTCTTTGGTCCATCCACACTGACTACCTGTCCTAGAAACTCCTCAGCTTGCTACCAGCAGCCACCTCACTGTTAGCCTGTCCCCTCTATGTACAGCTTTCAGCCAGGCATTGCTGGCCAGGAGCACTGGAAATCAGTTGGAGCCAGAGATGAGTCTGATTGCTGGTTGAAATTGTTTTTCCTGTACCATATCTTGCAATCTAATCACCACTGACAGTGATTGTGTGTCTTTCTGGAGCTTACAAATAAATAAAACCACCAGCTCCCAGAGTTTTGGCTTCCCACCTGGGAAGCTCTCCTTCCTTTGATGCCCATGAATAGAAACAAGCCTAAAAAGGCAAGCTAAACCCTAAAAACCCACACTGTCAAAGTAAACCATGCAATGGGAATATTCATGTTGAAGCCACATGAATACCACCATAAGCAGGCAGGTATTGCTTTTTCCTCCCACCTTCAGCCCCTGCACATATACTTAGGTGCTATAGAAAATCATACGGATTTGCTGTGTCAGATCTTTAAGAAGCAAGCAACAAAACCTTTGGAACTGCCTGTAAAGGCAAAATTCAGGGGAATCTATGTGGTTCAGAGCAGATTAAGATGCCAAAGAGCTTCCTTCCAGATAGATGTATGGGCTGGTCCTCTGTTTTTAAGGAGTACTTTGCTAGCAAACTTTTAGCTGATATTCTGTAAAGCTTTGCTATTAATACCTTCATTTTACCCTACTAAGAGTTAGTTGCTAAACTTTATAAAATATTCCACATTTTTGTGACTTTCACAATTCATCTACAGTTAATAATTTCCATGTAGATTATACTGCAATAATGAGAAGCAGATGTAAAGAACTCCTTTTGCTTTGGCTGATAGGAAGCTGAAGTTCAGTCTTCATTAGTTTGTTACATTGGTAACCAGAGCTCCTCCCATACAGTTCTGAGCAACCTCTGTATCTAGTCATAATTCAGAAGAAAGACAGGAGGAAGTCACAAGAGGACATTGCTGCTGCCACACATCATAAATGACAGGGGAGACAGCAGAAGTTAAGACAATAAAAACAAGTGAACAAGATCAGATCACTGTGCAGAGCCTGGAGCTGGGTCACTCCAGGTGTGCAGCAAGGAGGGATGGAAGGGCCCTCTGAAGTTCTGCCATGCAGTTTTGCATATCCATTCCTTGAGCCAGGAGATTTATCACATGGTTTAATTCATTTTCCTGACTGCCAGAAAGAACTGGGTATTTTTCAAATCTAATTAATAGACCAAAGCCTCACATCACCTGATAACACATTATTAGAAGTTGTCTCTTAAATGCAAATTTCCTCGTCAATGCTCTGTCTGCATTGTCTGCTTTAATATTCCAGCAGAATAATGTTTTTATCTATCCAAGTAATTTGATCACACAGCTGTAACTTGCACCCTTTCTCCTGTTTGCCTTTTCTTACACTGCCTTTTGTCATTTCTCATTCTTAGCCACACTGCCCTTGATCTGCTAGGTATTTTGTCACTGCTCTTTCTTACTAATTTTAATACTATGTTTATCACATCCTTAGTAAGGGTTCCTTAGTTTCACCTTCATTCTATGGCAGAGAATGAGCACTTCTTTCACTCTGTAATCAAAGTCCCTCTTGGCATAAGATTAAATTACAAAGGTAGAGAAAACAAAAATCTGTTAGTGCTTAAGCACAGATTTTTCCCTAGCTCTGTATCTGTAACAGGTACCATCAGAAGCAACAGGAATATCAGTTCAATGATATTTCCATAATGCGAAACATATAGAGGGCACTTTCCCCAGCTAAAGCATTAGAGTGTATGAACCTCAAGGAAAATAAAGTTCAGGAGAGTGAAAGGCCATGTGATTGTCTAAGGGTGTAGTGGAGCATCACTCTGATGCTCAGTTTCTCAGACAATTATGCAGACAATTCCTAGTGAACAAGCAGTTGGCTTAACTAAGGTGTCTATTCACCTTAAGAAAGCTATTACTTTTCAGGAGGATTCATTTATCTTTACATGCTTAAACAGACCAGTTCTTACTACATCAAGAGTCCTAACTTGTTAAGTCACAATAATATGGCACTTACTACGTGACAATTCCTTTTTAAACCTGTTTTGGTTTATGCTGCATTTAGACAGAAACCAGTTTCCGCTGAAGAGCAGTTTCAAATAACTTTATAGCCATGAAATGAAACTATTACACTACACTGTAACAAGCTGAAAAAAAAAGAGTTAAATGATAAAAACCATGTATGCCACTTCCTTTGTATTTATGTTATTTAACAGTTATCTGATGACAGGTATTGTGTCATTCAGGATGCCAGGACTAGTGAACGCACACAATTCATGACTCAGTATTTACTGGTTGAGAGAAGAAAATGAGTTTTCCTGCTTTTCAGTTGACAGTCAGTATAATTAAATCACTGACCTTGATTGAGTGCGAAAAAAATGTTTTGGCTTTTTCAGAAAAGGTCAAAAATCACAAAAATAAGATTTTCTTTTTTATATCCTTACCTTGTCCAAGTTACCAGGCAGCAAAAGCAAACCTTTCATAAAAAAGGTATCATAGCATATGCTTCATACATGAAGACTTAAATGCTAAGTCTAATCAGTCTAGGACTAATTATTTTCAGGTAATTAGTTGATTTGAGTGTAAGAGTATCTTATGCCATAGCACATATTGACCTATTTCCACATTTTAGGTACATTTTTATTTAAATGAAAGATTCAGACTTTAAAAGACAAAATCTCTGGTGTAAATACTGAGATATGGTAAAATTAGTTTGAAACCAGTGTATGTTTGGACTCCTAAACCACTTCTGCAGCAGTGTGATCTCTGCCATTTTACCACCACTCCTCTTCTACCCTTTCAGTGTCAGAATGTTAGAAAGGAGAATCGCAGCTCCAAAGACTCTGCATTGGAGATAACTACATGCATCAGTGAGCCTTAGCCCAAGATGATGGCTAGAGACAAGAATTAGCTGAAGCTTTTACATCCAACTTGATTTTGTCTGATTTGCAGTAGCTGTAGGCTGAAAAGAACTTCACTGTTTTTTGAACTTGATGCATAGGAAAAGTTGGGTTCATGAAGACAAGCTACAAAAGTTAGTTTCAGTATTTGAGTATGAAAATACCCATAGGGTGAGCCAGATGGGACTGGCTGGTCTACAGGTTCCCTGTTCTGATAAAACCTCATGTGAAACCATTATCTAATTGCAAACATCACGCTAATGTATTGTTTTATTTACAAGCACATAACAAAAGTCCTGATGTAGTGCTGCTCTCTAGTGGTTTGCCATTTGTGCAAGTGGGACATGCTTCCAGAGTGAGGAACTCCCCATCACCACTCACAGCCCGTTTGTTCCTTTGATCCCTCTCTGCACGGTACAGACCAGTAACTGCTTCCTGCAGAAAATGCTTGCAAGCCTGAAGAGTCTGTCCTGTAATGTATGCTAGGAAGTAATGCACCAGTTTTAGCCAAAATCATCTCAAGGCTGCTTTAGCATCTGCTACTTGTTGCTTCACTATTCACCTCCACCAGATACTTTCAGATTATACATACAGATGCCACAATAGGTGTCTGATGTGTTCTGATGGCCCATTAGGAAAATGAGCTCTTTACCTGCACTATTTTCCCCTAAAGGATCTTGGGGCCTTAAAATTTCTTTTATTAATGAGTCCTCCTAAAAGCTTTTAGAAAGCTTATACTGCAGAACCCAAACACTCCTCTGGCTCTGTCTTAGCTCCACTTTACAACAGAGGTCACTGCTCCTTTCCCTGGCTTGCCTTGGAAGGGAACCAAGACAAATGGACCAGAGAGAAGCAGCAGGAAAAGGGCTACTCCATAAGCAGGGTTCTAGAAACTGTAAGTGCAGCACAGCCTATTGATGAGGTGTTGAACCACCTTCAGTGCCCATCCAAAAGCTGAAGGCAGAAACAAGGCTACAACATAGGCTTGACATCCAGCAAGAAAACCAAGACCAAAACAAAGGAACATGGTCCTACAACACAGCCCCAATAAGAAGCAAAACGTAATGCCAGAGCTGGGCCAACGGGCAGAGGCCATGGGTAGAGACCCCAGGTGAGGAGCCATTAAGGTCTGTTGGCACCCTCCATCCCTAAAAGCTACAATATGCAAGGCACCAGCCTTCCTCAGTCCCTGTACTGTCTAGTAAACACGACTGCAGCTTAGGTAACTGTCCACTGGGTCACCAGCTGGATCATCATGGGCTTCTTCAGTGGCCTCTAGGAAACTGTATTTAAACTCTGACTAAGCCCCTATACATGATGTTTATCCCTTAGTCTACTTCTTCTATTTTCATTATATATTTCTTCCAACCTTGGGTATGGAAGAAATCCAATCACTCACCTGGATCCTTCTTTTGAGTTTGATTGCATTTTCCCCCAGCTCTGGCACTGCAGTGATTTAAGTGGCACTTACTAAGCTCACTCAGTAGCTGTGCAGTTTCAAACATGAGCTGCCTCTGAACTCCTGGATGAGCATCACCTGCTCCTAACAAGTCAGTACTGTTTTGTTGCACTGATTTGTGCTAAACCCCTTTCTTGTCAGCAATGATATTTTCTCTGAGCCATCCTTCCTGAGCCTGAGATTTCCTCAGATCAACCCCTGTAAGGAATGATCTTATCAGGAACATCCCTGTGCTGTTCCATAGCACATGTCAGCCTAAGGGATGCACAGCTTTTTCTGCAGTAACCTTATTTTTACATCTTGCTTTTCTACTGATTCCAATAATTTTGACAGATTTCCAATTTAAAAAGATGTATCTTTTTACCCATGTTGCCACTTGTCAGAATTTACATTGCTCTTTATTTTCACCAGATGACTTCCACTCTTCATTTCTGCTGCTCCCACATCTAAGCATGACTGCTCTTTCTACATTGTCTACTATGCATTTTATATCATTGTCAGTAATATTTTCTTTAAGTTTCTAAGTTTTTATCCTTTTAGTTGTTCCTTTTAGCTCATTTCTTTGCTTTTAGGGAGTTCCACTTTTTAAAGTGTCACAACTGTGCATTTTTCAGGTCTTTCTGTGTAACCAGAACTTAGACTTCATACAAACATGGAAATGTATGCATAACATAACATAACAATGTGTATGTATTTCCACAGCAGCTGTCAGGGAAAGAAACCTGACACCTCGTAAGAAACAAAACTGGTTCTATACACAAGATACTACTTTGGGGTGAAATTTCTTAATAGAGAAGCATCAGGCAATTGAGTAAGATCCAACATTTCTTTCATAAACCTGTCAGGATGAAGCTTTAGAAATTGAATAGGGTTGATTTCTCTGTGTGTTTGTAGGGACAGCACATGTCTTGGGAATATACACTGCTAGGCTAAAAAATGACATGAAAAATGTACAAGCAGGTAATAATGTTCAGAACTTTCTTAGCATGCCTTATTCAAAGTATTTTGAAAATATAATGAAATACTAAAAATTGGAATGTTTAGCCACATTTCATGAATAAAGAAATTCAGATGCTGGCTCATGAACAAGTGCCCAGGATGTCTCAGTAGCAGAAGGAGAACCAGAAAGCAGGAGTCCCATGCCATCCCTCCCTATGGGGATTGCTACTCTTTCCTGGCAAAAGGGAAAGAGCCTCCAGTCTTCAAATGTTCACTGGCAAGTGCTTACCTCAGTTTTAGATATGAAATTAAGGTAAGGTTTTTAAAGCTGGTTGCTAAAGAGATGCACCTTCAGCAACATTTAGGATGTGTAACAGGTGTGCTAGTTCCCAGAAGTGCTTAATACCTGCAGCTCTCACAGAGGTCAAGGACCTACCCTCAAGAAAAGGAGGTGCCTAGCTTTCCAC